CTAATTCGGTTTAGGAAACCTGGTCTGCATGCACAGGTTGGGCCGAAGGGCCTGTTTCCATGCTGTAAGACTCTTAATTCCAGCCTCTTGCGCATCTGCTGAATTTAATTGATCCACCACTGGTGTTGACTTCTGCTGCCTAGGCCCTGAGCTCCAGAATTCCCTCCCTAAACCTTACCCCACCCCAACCTCCCACGCTCGCTCTCTCTCCTTTGAGCCACTCCTTAAAACTTACCTCATTGACCAAGGCTTCTCTCATGTGACTTAACATCCCTTTTGTGGCTCAGTGTCAAATTCTGCTTGATAGTAACTCCCGTGAATCCACCTTGGAGGCATTTTGCTACATTAAAAGCATTACAAGTTTATTCCCCCGCCCCACCCCCAACAAAAAGCATTATTCAAAACAAAATGCACCTTTTACAGAGGGGCCCCATACAGACAGGTTGGCAGATTCTGATATCTGCTGAAATCACCTCTGTCTGGTAGGTGTTGAGGAGGTTAATACCAGTGTTAACTGAAAGCCTGGAGGGTTGTAAAAGGGATTAGCAACTCTTGTCTGTCTGCTACTAATACCTTGGGAATGAAAAATCTTCTCACAGAGGAAAGCTCCATTTACAGAGTCACAGAAACAACCAAGTTCCCCTTCATCTCCACAACATCTAACTTTACTCAGTGTGCTGACGGGGGATGAGAATAATGAAATCTCTTATTCTCTCTAGCAGTACACTTTCAGTGCTCTCCTCCTGCTGGACTTTAGCCCTGTACAGCTCAGGCATAACCTTTGTTTCTCTACTTTATAAAAACACACGGTTTAGGATGAAGACCAGGCCATTTGGCCCATTGAGCCTGCTCTGCCAGTCAATACGATCATGGTTGATCTCAAGCTTCAACTGCATTTTCCCTCTCGCTCGCCGTAATCCTTGATTCCACAAGAGACCAAATTATCTGTCCGTCCCATCAGGGGACCTGCAAGCCTCTGGGGGTAGAGAATTCCAAACATTCACAACCCTTTTTGTACAAAAGGATTCTTCCTCATCTCGGTTTTCAAATCAGCAACCCCTTATCCTGAGGTTCCGTCCCCTGAGTTCTAGACTCCCCAGGCCCAGGGAGGAATAGATCTGTGTCGACCGCTCCATCTTCATAGCATGGATTGTTTAATGAAATCTCCTCTCATTCTTCCAGAATCTAGAGAATATTGGCCCAATTACTCAGCATCTCATTGCAGGACAAACTCCTTCATCTTAGGGGCCAATGTAGTGAAACTTTGCTGTTTCACCTCCAATGCAAGGTCACCCTCCCTCCAATATTGGGGCGGGGTGGGGGGGCAAGACTGCTCACAGCACTTCACAAAAACTGCTTTGAAAAACCCAGAAATGACACGCAGATTTGAGGGGAGGGGTGAAGGCAATGTAAAAGAGACTTGCATTCGCGTAGCGCCTCATGTATAAGCTCTGGCCGCCCCAAAGCAGTTTGTCAGCCAATTTTGCCACAGCATTTTAGGAAAACGCAGCAGATCACTGGTACACAGCGTGGTCCCACACGCAGCAGGGTGGTCACAATGGGATAGTCTGTTTCAGGTGTTTGTCGAGGGATAAATATTGGCCCAAGGGCACCGGCAAGAGCTGCCCTGGATGTTGTTTGAACACACTGAGAAAGGAGACCTTTCCTGATGACGGCACCTCTGACAGTGCAGCAGTCCCTCAGCACCGCACTGAGTGCAACAGGCTGGATGGAGTTGTTCAAATTTCATGTGTGACACTTGAACCAGTGAGCCTCTGTGTCAGTCAGATTGCTAAGGATTGGACGTAAAATAAGCAAAGAACCTAGGTTTAAGGTGAGAGGGGAAAGATTTAAACGGGACCTGAGGGGCAACTTTTTCACACAGAGGACGGTGAGAGTATAGGAAGAGCTGCCAGAGGAAATGGTAGAAGCGGGTACAATTACAACATTTAAAAAGACATTTGGACAGGTACATAGATAGGAAAGGTTTAGAGGATATGGGCTAAATGCTGACAAGTAGGACGAGTACAGTTTAGGAAACCTGGTTGGCATGGACAAGTTGGGCCGAAGGGTCTGTTTCCATGCTGTATAACACAGGTAAGGTTGCTGTCCACTATGCTATGGTTCTCTTCAAGCATATGTTAAGAGCCCAGAGTCTTTCTCTCCCTCCTTAAACCCCTACAAACCAACTAGACCTCATGTTAAGTGGAGAAACAAGAGGAAATAGTAAGGGTGCAACTCAAATCCACATTAATTCCCCAAATTCCGCCTTCCTCTTCCAATTCTTCCCCACTCCCTCTGGGGAGGCTAGGATTCCAGTTGATAGGAGCTCTGTACTCAGCTCGAGTGACCACCTCTGGGCCGAGTCTGGTCAACAAGAATCTGTAGGCTTCTCAACTGTGGAGGTATCACCAGTCCTCGTTTGTTCATAATCCCGATTCCCAGTGGTTGGGAGGTTTCTCAAACAGGGCTTTGCAGTGCTAGGTTGAACCAGTTTAGAATGTGGCAAGCCCGAAGAGTCAGGATCCGAAGTGAAGAATTGTGGCACCGTTAGCAGAGTAAAAGGGTCCTCCTGCGGTACAGTGGTAACGTCCTTACCCCTGGACCAGGACGCCCGGGTTCAAGCACCACCTGCTCCAGAGGTGTGTAATAACGTCTCTGAACAGGTTGTTTAGAAAAATAGTAAAACGTGTTTCAACAGGGGTGTTCATCAAACTAAATCTGATACTGAGCCACATTCGGAGCTGCCAAGAGAAGTGTCCAAAAGTGCTGCCTAGGAGGTGCATTTTAGCAAGTATCTAGAAGAAGAGACAGAAGCAGAGATGCTTACGAAAGGGAATTCCAGAGCTTGGGGCCCAGGCAACGGAAGGTACAGCCAGCAACAGTGGACTGATTAAAGTCAGCGTTTCTACAAGAGAGCGGAATTGCAGATCGGAGACCTCCAAGGGCTGTAGGTGGTTACACAGCCCGTGGGGGTGACGCTGAACGAGGGTCATGCCTCGAAATTTGAAGCGTCAGTACAAAGGCAGCTTGAAGCCAGGTCATGAGTGTACATACAGGCTCACCATCGATACCACCCCCCACCCGCCCTGGCACCCCATGACTGGATTGCACGGACGTGGAATAGTTTGTGTGAGGTCACCTGAGGAACATGCTGTTGGGAGGAGAGTCTGAAGCAGGGCTGAAAGAAACGACGAATTCTTTGTTAACGGTGAAATGCTCCCAGGCACCCCGACTGCTGCAGATCTCCCCCACTTCCCCAGCCATGGCTGGCTGAGAACGGATCCTGCCCACGAGCAGGGCGGTCACTGGCTTGAGAAGCCACAGCATCCAGCAGGTCAGAGAGATAAGGAAACTCACTCCAGTTCCCCGAGCTGGCCTCACAAACCACCGGCAAACACACACAGTCACCATGGTCAGTACAGATGGTCATTGTGGTCAGGCTGCGTTTCAGCTGACATTTCCCGCTGACAGCTCATTCGTTTCTCACACTTTGGATATCCTCCACCCCCCCACACACTCCTTCCCGCTCGTTCAGCTTCTTCCCAAGGACGGAATTGGGGGTTGGTGTGTGTCTATGTGCGCCTGTGTGTGTGCGTGTGCGCACGCCTGTGTGTGTGAGTGAGTGAAGATTTAGCAGAAATCAAGGAACAGGAGACCATTCAGTCCCTCCTCGCTTGTGTTGGCATTCATTTCTATCATGGCTAATCTGTATCCCAACAGCCCAACTGGAGACAGAACCAATGCCTGACACATTCTTAGTTTGAGTGCTGCAATTTTCAATTCACCTCTCCCCAGTTGTTTTGGGTTCAAGTTTACAGCATCCAGCCTGATTAGATCGATGTCCTAACACTCCACGTTAGCGCCTTCTATCTCCTTTTCATATTCTTCACTACTTTTCATCTTCATTTGCACCTAGCTCTCCCTTTAATGCATGCGCAGGGTCAATATATTCCTGACATCTATGGGGTTAATCCTACCCTAGCCCCACATCCAGACCAAAAACATCAAGGGTCAGGACAAACATATCTCTGTCTTCCAGCTTCCCTTTGCAATTCTGTCATTCTCAAAATGCACTTCCTCAGATTAACTCTATCCTCCCCTTGTGCTCCTGCATTGACAATGAGAGAGACAGTGGCTATCACGGTTCTACCAGTCAATCTTCTACCAGCAGCAGCAGGATAACATACAAAAAACACAGCCTGAACCTCTGCAACCTCAATGCTTGATGTTGGTGTAAAAGCTTTGCTCCTCATAACATATACATGCTGTTCCTGCCCTGGGAGTGTTTCATGGGGACAGTATAGAAGGAGCTTTACTTTCAGTTTAAAAGTTTGGAGGGAGCTTTACTTCCAGTTTAAAAGAGTAGAGAGACTACTTCATTCAGTTTAAAAGAGCAGAAGATTGTCTCAATAAAGATCGAGCATGTGCATTTGCTTCTTAGCTTCTGCCAATAACGCACCCCAAACTAAACAGGGCAGATTAAACAGCCCCAGGAAACTGCAAGTCCTGCTGCTGTTTTAAGTGAAACAAATGAAAATAATTCAAACAGATTAAGAAAACCAGAACCGAGATGTGATATGAGGCAGGTATGATAAGGGCATTTAAGGGACTTTTAGGTAAGCAGATGAATATGCAAGGAATGGAGAGATACGGACCAAGGGCAGGTAGAAAGAATTAGGTTCATTTGGCATCATGTTCTGTACACTAGTGGGCCAAAGGGCCTGTTCCTGTGCCATACTGTTCTATGTTCCAAGTTCTAAGAAGCCTTACTCCATATCTAACCCCGTGCTGTTGCTGTCCCTGTCCCTGGGAGTGTTTGATGGGGACAGTGTAGAGAGAGCTTTACTCTGTATCTAACCCCGTGCTGTTCCTGTCCTAGAAGTGTTTGATGGAGACAGTGTCGCAAAACATTTACTTTATGTTTATAAGAGTAGAGAGAGCTTTACTCTGTGTGCGTCCAGCACACATTTGGGAAAAAAAATGTAAATAATACTAGCCAGAGAAAACAGAAACTTTTACTTTTTGTTAAAGGAGAAACATTTTACAGAAAGAGGCAAAAATTACAAACTGTACATGACAAAAACTCCTAAAAATGTTTAAACACGTCAGAATAAAGTGGTGAAGCCCGAATCAGTCTGCAGTCACAGCAAGACACAATAATCACAGAATCACATCTTCACAAGCAGGGCCCTCCTTCCCATAGATACAAGAGAGGGAACAAAACAAGACAGACAATGTCAATGAATTAATGTAGCCCAAAGGATAGCGAGCTGGGGGAGAGAAAATATCAACTCGCGAAACACAGATGGTTTTCTAATTGATCTGAAAATTTTAAACAAAAGATGATAAACCAAATCAGGTTTCGCTGCATTGGAATTGCAGAGCAGGTACTGCCCAGGACAGACACTTGCTTAAACCAGCTCAGAAACAGGACATCTCCAAAATCCCTCAACATGGATTTGAGCTGGACCTGATAGCACACACACCCAAGAGTAAACTCTGTACAGAAATGATGCTTTCTGGTAAATAACAATTTCCTTTCCAACACAGCGATTGAAAACTCGCCAGGCACAGCACTTCTGCGGAACCAAACTGTCCGACACTTTAAAAAAAGGGACAGGTGTTTCCTCCTGGTGGGGCTGTCCATCGTGGGTTTTGTGCCCTGGCAGTTCTACTTTCTGTTATGGTGCTTTGCTTCATCTCCAATTGGGTACAGACTTGTTGCTGAATTTATTCACAGAGTGATAAGAAACATTTGGCAGCAGGACCTTCAACTCAGGGGCACAATGGTATTGGGGGGAGGGGGGCTCACCACTGGCACTAATGGGCGGGAGGCCTACAACAGCCCAGAGCACAGCCTTGCCAGAAAGGGGCAGCAGAATTTTTCTTTAGAAAAAAAAAGGTATGTTTATTTGACACTTCTGCATTCATGCTATACAGACACAGTCCTGTACCATCGGAATGCACCCTCTTGCTTTCAATCTTCTCAGGAAGGTGGGATACCAAGGTGTTGGGCTACTTCTCTGTTTGTGGGAGCATCTAATTCCAGTCTGAGTCTGCAAGCGTTTTAATTTGTCACTAAATACCCATTTTGGTTTTGACACACAATAACATCTTTCTGGAGTCACCAGACTACCCTAAGAAAGCACAGGGGCCCAGTCCTTGAACAGGGAAGGGAAACCAAACCATGTACCAGACCTTACAGGAAGTACAGTTCAGTTGCTATCACTTGTGCTCTCCAGCAGAGTAAGGTCACAAACTAAGGCAAGACTTTCACCCACTTCCAGCCCCTTAAAACTAACGAGGATAGCTGTCAAATGGAGATACAAATGTACACGCATTACATACACACACGCACACACAAACATACCCGCGTCCAAACATTTTGTCAATATTGTGACTGAGAAAGCAGACAAAAGATTAGGTGTCAAAGAAGGAAAAAAAACGAGATTAAAAACAGAGCTGTTTGCTGGTACGGTCACCTTAAAGCAAATCTTTTGAAGCAGAGTCACTCTATACTTTACTAAATAAAACTGTGACAATTACAGACGTGCTTTGCTTCCAACCCTGGGTTATACACAGCTGCAGTACAGATACAACCCAAAGTGGTTGGGTGTACATCGCTGACACGATAAATAGAATGTACATACATACAGGCGCACGTGCACAGTAGTTATTAGGCATTTGGCTCCTGCAGCTAGTTCTTGATGGCTCTGCGTGGAGAGAACGCTGTGTTACTGGCCGTGTCGATGGATCAAGAGGAACGCTAAAATTAGCGAGGAGGCCAACTGAAGGATGAGCAGTGGCTTCTAATGACGATGGTGAGGGCTTCTCGAACGCGAGCGAGAACGTCTGGAAGACAACAGAATGAAGCAAACATGTTACTTTCAGGAAACCGTTATTTTTCACCACCCCGCCATCTCCATTTTTTTCCCAGAATGCTAACTGACGTGGGGGCAATTCTGCTCGGGGTTAGGAGCCAACTGGATAGCTATGTTAAAGAGGTCGATAGAGTTTAGTTGATTGAATGGCCTCCTTCAGAGCTGCATGATTCTTCAAGAGATGAACACCTCCTTATTCGAGTGACTTGAGGTTTCACAAAAGAGCCTCAGGAGCAAGTGCCAATTTGAGACTGCGTGGATTGGGCTGGAGGTGTGGGGGGGTGGGGGCAGTGCGGAACAGCATAGCAGGGGGCTGGAGCAAGCCTCAACATTTATACAGCAGTCAGTTGATGGATCACACTAAGGAGTGGCTGGTCTTCCAACCCCAGCAACTGCTGAGCTCCTTCTCTGAAATAAACCCCCTTCAATGCCAACGCAGCACTGATGCCTTAAGGCTGTTCAGGTCTGCACCGCTCAGTCAGCTCACATCCCCTCCAACAGGCATGGCCTGGCTTACAAAAAACACATTCCCGTGATACTGTGCAGACTGGTTTCTCTTACCTTCGCGATGAGCTGCTGTAATCACGGCCTACAGAGCAGAAGAGGAGAGAATCAGTCACATTGGGAGATGGAATCATTGCAGATACTCCCACACTCAAATCACCCCCCGATTCAGACCTCTGCACACAGTGTGAGCAACTCAATTCTCAGAGATAGGGTGATTTCACTTAACCAGCCTGTTGTTTCCATACCCAGTCTGGTATTGGGTCGGGAGAGCTGGAAGACAGGACCACTGCATTGTTGTTGCAGGCGCTGTCTTTCCAGATGCGTTACTAAACCAAACCTTTACCAAATCATAAAAATCGAAAGAACTGCAGATGCTGTAAACCAGGAACAAAAACAGAAGTTGCTGGAAAAGCTCAGCAGGTCTGGCAGCGTCTGTGAAGAAAAAAAAAGTCAGAGTTAACGTTTCGGGTTCAGCGACTCATCCTCATGTCACCAAACCTGAAACGTTAACTCTGATTTTTTCTTCACTGATGCTGCTAGACCTGCTGAACTTTTCCAGCAACTTCTGCTTTACCAAATCATGCAGAAAAGACTATTTGTTATCTCAAGATGGACCTTCATTCAGGGAAAGGATAATTTTCTAATGGAAAGCATGTCAATTCACACTCTGTACACACAGACAGACTCCACCTTCTGACTGTAGCTCTCTCTAAGGCTGCCACACCAACATGTGATACCCTCTGTGATCTCTCTGCCACTCATTTGTGCACACAAGACAGCCTTGCATTTATATAGCACCTTTCATGACCTCAAGATATCACAAAATGGTACACAGCCACTGAAAAACATTTTAAAGGTGCGGGCACTTGCGTGCAATGTAGAAAATGCAACAATTTCTCCACAGCAAGATCCCACAACTGGTGATGTGATAAAAGGAGCAGGTCACCCGCAGCAGGCACTGACAGAGGAATTAATAAAGATGGCACTGCTGCCTAACCTGCACTCCCTCAGCACTGGTGATGGGGTACTTCAGCCTCCACATTATGCTCAGGCCTCTGGCATAGGAGTTGGTGGAATTTCCATTCAACTAATAAAGTAGAATTGAATTCTAGTTTTAATCAAAGAAATCTGCTGCCTTTACCTGCTCTTTCCTTACATGTAATCACAGACCTATACTGATGCAGTTGGCTCTTAACCTCCCTTCGAAACGTCCCAAACAAACCACTCAGTTCAGGTGTATTTAGGAATAGTGAACAAATAAAAAGGGGCAAAATGAAGGAACATGACTCGACCTTCTCTTGGGAAATAAGGCAGGGAAAGTGACCGAGATGTCAGTGGTGGAGCACTTTGGGGGCAGTGATCATAATTCTATTAGTTTTAAACCGTTATGGAAAAGGATAGACCTGATCTAAAAGTTAAAGCTCTAAATCGCAGCAAGGCCGATTTCGACAATAACTTTCAGAAGTTACAATAACAGAAGTTGCTGGAAAAACTCAGCAGGTCTGGCAACATCTGTGAAGAGAAATCAGAGTTAACGTTTCGGATCTGGTGACCCTTCCTCAGGGTTCTGAGGTCATCAGACTTGAAACGTTAACTGATTTTTTTCTTCACAGATGCTGCCAGACCTACTAGTTTTTCCAGCAACTTCTGTTTTTGTCCCTGATTTATAGCATCTGCAGTTCTTTCGATTTTTAACTTTCAAAAATTGACTGGGAGAGGCTATTCGCAGGTAGAGGGATGGGTGGAAAGTGGAGGGCCTTTAAGAATGAGATAACAGGAGTTCAGAGACAGTATGTTCCTGCAAGTGCGAAGGGCAAGGCTGGTAGGTGTAGGGGATGCTGGATGATTAGAGAAATTAAGGCTCTGATCAAGAAAAAGGAGGCAGCACATGGCTGGTACAGACAGCTGGGATCGAGTGAATCCCTGGAGGAGTATCAAGCCAGTAGGAGTATACTTAAGAGGGAAATCAGGAGGGCGAAAAGATGACATGAGATAACTTTAGCAAAGAGATTCTACAAACACAATTAAAGGGAAAAAAGTAACTAGGGAGAGAATAGGGCCCCTTAAAGATCAACATGTCTATGTGTGGAACCATGGAAGATGAGTGAGACACTAACAAGTATTTTGCATCAGTTTTTCCTGTGGAGAAGGATATGGAAGTTAGAGAGCGTAAGGAAATAAATACAGACATCATGAAAAGTGCTCACATTGGATACAAAGGTGCATAAATCCCTGGGACCTGATCAGATGTATCCCAGAACTTTGCAGAAAGCTAGGGAAGAGATTGTTGGGCCCCTTACGGAGTGACCACATGGTAGACTGGTTAGTAAGGTTAGATCACCTGGGATCCAGGGAGAGCTAGCCAATTGGATACAAAATTGGCTAAAAATAGGAGACAGAGGGTAGTGGTGGAGGGTTTTTTTTTGGACTGGAGGCCTGTGACCAGTGACCAGTGGTGTGCTGCAAGGATCGGTACTGGGTCCACTGCTTTTCATCATTTATATCAATGATTTGGATGCGAATACAGAAAGCATGGTTGATAAGTTTTGCAGATGACACCAAAATTGGTAGTGTGATGGACAGTGAAGAAATTTATCTCAGAGTACAATAGGACCTTGATCAGATGGGCCAATGGGCTGAGGAGTAACAGAAGGGAGTTTAATTTAGATAAATGTGAGGTGTTGCACTTTGGAAATGCAAATCAGGGCAGGACTCATACAGTTAACGGTAGGGCCCTGGGGAGTGTTGGCAAACAAAGGGGCCCAAGGGTGCAAGTGCATAGTTTCTTGAAAGTGGAGTCACAGGTAGACAGGATAGTGAAGCTTGCCTTCATTGGTCAGTACATTGTGTGTAGGGGTTGGGATGTCATGTTGTGGCTGTACAGGACACTGGTTAGGCCACTTCTGGGGAATAGTGCATTCAATTCAGGTCTCCCTGCTATAGGAAAAACCAGGAACAGGCAGTTGGGACTAGTTTCGTTTGGGACTATACTTGACATGTACTGGTTGGACCGAAGGGTATGTTTCTGTGCTGTATGACTCTATGTTGTGAAACTTGAAAGGGTTCAGAAAAGATTTACAAGGAAGCTGCTGGGTTTGGATGGTTCGAGCTATAGGGAGAGGCTGAATAGGCTGGGGCTATTCTCTCTGGAGCATCGGAGGCTGAGGGGGACCTTAAAGAAGTGTATAAAATCATGAATGGCATGGATAGGGATAAATTGCCAAAATTCTCTTCCCCAGTTTGGGGGAGTCTAAAACTAGAGGGCATAGGTTTAAGGTGGAGGTTTAGGTTTAGGTTTAAGGTTTACAGATGGAGAGTGTGAAGATAAAATCCAATACAAGGGTCCTGTGCTTGAACAAGGGGAACTACAATAGAATGAGGGAGGACTTGGCTAAAGTAAACTGGAAACAAAGATTTTATGGTGGGACAGTTGATGAGCAGTGGAGGACTTTCAAAGCAATCTTTCAAAGTGCTCAGCAAAAGTATATTCCAATGAAAAGGAAGGACTGTAAGAAAAGGGGTAATCTGCCATGGGTGTCTAAAGAAATAAGGGAGGCTATCAAATTGAAAGAGAAGGCATACAAAGTGGCCAAAAACAGCATGAAACTAGAAGATTGGGAAAACTTTAAAGGTCAACAGAAAGCCACAAAAAGAGCTATAAGGAAAAGTAAGATAGAACATGAGAAAAAACTAGCACAGAATATAAAGACAGATAGGAAAAGTTTCTATAAATATATAAAACGAAAAAGAGTGGCTAAAGTAAACGTTGGCCCTTTAGAGCATGAGAAGGGGAATTTAGTTATGAGATATGATGAAATGGCCGAGGCATTGGACAGGTATTTTGTATCGGTCTTCACAGTGGAGGACACTAATAACATGCCAGTAATAGACAAAGAGACGAAGGTAGGTGAGGACCTGGAAACAATCATAATTACGGAAGAGGTAGTGTTGGGCAAGCTAATGGAGCTAAGGATTGATAAGTCTCCTGGCCCTGATGGAATGCATCCCAGGGTACTAAAAGAGATGGCGGGAGAAATAGCAGGTGCACTGGTGGTAATTTTCCAAAATTCGCTGGACTCTGGGGCAGTCCCAGCAGATTGGAAAACAGCAAATGTGACGCCACTGTTTAAAAAGGGAAGTAGACAAAAGATGGGGAATTATAGACCAGTTAGCTTAACCTCTGTAGTGGGGAAGATGCTTGAGTCTATTATCAAGGAAGAAATAGCAAGGCATCTTGATACAAATTGTCCCGTTGGGCAGACGCAGCCTGGGTTCATGAAGGGCAGGTCTTGCTTGACAAATCTTCTGGAATTCTATGAAGACATTACGAGCGAGGTGGACAATGGGGACCCAGTGGATGTGGTGTACCTAGACTTCCAAAAGGTCTTTGACAAGGTGCCGCACAAGAGGCTACTGCATAAGATAAGGATGCATGGCATTAAGGGTAAAGTATTAGTCAACCAATCCTCTATCCATGCTAACAGGAACAAAGAGTGGGGATAAATGAGTGCTATTTTAGCTGGCAGTCAGTGACTAGTGGTGTGCCTCAGGGATCGGTGTTGGGACCGCAATTATTTACAATTTATATAGATGACTTGGAGCTGGGGACCACGTGTAGGGTGTCAAAGTTTGCAGATGACACTAAGATGAGTGGCAAAGCAAAGTGTGTAGAGGAACATAGATACATTGAGTGAGTGGGCAAAGGTCTGGCAGATGGAATACAATGTAAATAAATGTGAAGTCATACATTTTGGTAGGAGTAATAGTAAAAAGTATTATTACTTGAATGGTAAAAAGTTGCAGCATGCTGCTATGCAGAGGGACCTGGGTGTCCTTGTGCATGAATCACAGAAGGTAAGTCTGCACGTACAACAAGTAATTAGGAAGGCAAATGGAATTTTGTCCTTCATTACTAAAGGGATTGAAATAAAAAGCAGAGAGGTTATGTTGCAGCTGTACAAGGTGCTGGTGAGGCCACACCTGGAGTACTGTGTGCAGTTTTGGTCTCCTTACTTGAGAAAGGATGTACTGGCACTGGAGGGGGTGCAAAGGAGGTTCACTAGGTTGATTCCGGAGTTGAGGGGGTTGGCTTATGAGGAGAGACTGAGTAGATTGGGATTATATTCATTGGAATTCAGAAGATTGAGGGGGGATCTTATAGAAACATATAAAATTATGGAGGGAATAGATAAGATAGAAGTAGAGAGGATGTTTCCACTGGCAGGTGAAGCTAAGACAAGAGGGTATAGCCTCAAGATTAGAGGGAGCAGATTTAGGACTGAACTGAGAAGGAATTTCTTCACCCAGAGGGTTGTTAATCTATGGAATTCCTTGCCCAGCGAAGTAGTTGACGCTACTTCAGTAAACGCTTTTAAAAAATAGGTAGTTTTTTTTGAACAATAAAGGAATTAAGGGATACGGTGAGAACGCAGGTAAGTGGATCTGAGTCCACGAAAGGATCAGCCATGATCTTATTGAATGGCGGAGCAGGCTCGAAGGGCCAGACGGCCTACTCCTGCTCCTAGTTCTTATGTTCTTATGTGAGAGGGGCAAGATTTAAAAGGGATCCGAGGCGCAACATTTTCATGCAGAGGGTGGTGAGTGTATGGAACAAGCTGCCAGAAGAAGTGGTGGAGGAAGGTACAGTTACAACATTTAGAAGGTATCTGGATGGGTAAATGAATAGGAAGGGTTTAGAGTGATATGGGCCAAATGCTGGTAAATGGGACTAGATTAATTTAGGATATTTGGATGGCATGGACGAGTTGGACTGAAGAGTCTGTTTCCATTCTATATAACTCTACTACTCTATAAATGCTGGCCTTGCTCAGTACATTACAAAACCAGAGTTATTGGTTTACCAGCTAAGTTCAGGACTCCCCAAACGCCAACGCTGGGATCCCTAATGCTGGCCTGGGAATTAGAAGCAGAATTAGGTCATTCTGCCCCTCAAACCTGCTCCACTATTCAATACTGATCAAACCTGATCTGTCTGTGGCTTTGTTTCCCCTTTCCTGTCTGACGTCCATAACCTAGTCTCGCCTGCTCTCTGGGAAAGAGTTCCACAGATTAATGCTTCTCAGAGGTAAAACAATTATGCTCTTCTCCATCTTAAGTAGAAGATCCTTAACTGTGTTCCCTATTTCCAAACATCTCCTCAACTCCACTGTGTCAAGCACCCTTGGGACCTTGTGTGCGTCAACAAGATCACCTCTCAGTGATCTATACCTGAATGGGTATGGGCCCAATCTGTCAATCTATCTGCATAAACTGAACTCTTTATCCTAATAAGCTCAAAACGTTCCCTAAACTGTTTCCAATGCCATTTTATACTTTAAGCAACGAGTCAAAACCATACAGTTTGCATTCTTTGAACATAGAACAGTAGAATACAGGAACAGACCCTTCGGCCCACCATGTCTGTGCTGACCGTGATGCCACTCTAAACCAATCCCAACTGCCTGCACAGGTTCATATCCCTTCCGTCTATTCCCTGCCTGTTCGTGTGTCTGTCTAACTGCCTCTTAAATGTTGCTATGGTATCTGCTTCTACCACCTCCCCTGGCAGCACATTCCAGGCACCTACCACCCTCTGTGTAAAAAGGGATGATGTCTCTTGTTCTAAAGTGGTGCTTATTTCAGATATTTAACATACAGCTTGGGGTAGATTTTATGGTTGCGTTGACGATCGAACTGAACTGTTGCTTGTCACAGACACCCTACAGACTTAGGGGATGGAATCCTGTCTGACCCATCTAGGCTCAATCATGAATAAAGATAGGGGCTTGGACCGAGTCAGTGCCTGCTGAGCTGTGGGAGGTGTGTCAATTTGCATACATAGCCAGCGGAGAGAGAGGGGGGGGGGGGGGAACAGGGAGGAGGGGAGGGGGGACAGAGAGAGAGAGGAGGGACAGACAGACAGACAGAGACAATATTGGGAGGCGACTGCAAATTTCAAACAACAGGAGTGGAGGAGAAAAAAAGTGACGTTATTGAGTGATGTACAGTTCCCAAAGTCTCTCCCACAAACACAGCAACAGGCAGAAAATTGCACCATGCGGGAAGACCATTTGAGATGGGCAACACTGGCACTGTCACAATGCAGGGGAAAAAGCATGACTGCCAACAGAAAGTGCTGTGTTTATATGTTAGTGTGCCACTACCTTGTGGTTGTGGGTACGCTGTCAGCAAGGGACAGCACCATCGTCATCCCAAAACAGCAGGGATTTAACAGCATTAGTGATTAAAATAAGATCACGATCCAGAGTATGTGCCCAGGACCATGAGGAACTCAAACTGGCTGCAAAGTTCCCTGAACAACGATGACTAGACTTCAGAAGGTGCCTCACTGGCTGTCAAGCTCTCTGGAACATGCTGAAGCCAAGGAAGATGCTACAGAAATGCAAGGTTTTCTCGCCCCAGTTGTGGATGCCCTTGGCATTTCGGATGGTGAAAGCAGCCCTCCGGTGCCTCACAGGCCTGAGGTCCTGGTCACTGGTCTGTGACAAATGGGTACCACACCCAAGGTGGTCAAACTATATGAACCCTGGGTCAGAAAGGAGAGTGAATGATAAACCCGACCCTCGCTCGTGATCAGTAACCAAGTGGACACGGCCAGCATGGAGTAGTGATGCCCCCAAAGTCCAATATCCCATTGTTAGTCACTAACTAACTCAGCCACTGACAGAATTAGAACAGTACCCTATAGTTAAGGGTCAGGATAGGTGAGGAGAAAATTAGGTTGTAATTAAATTGAAAGGTTGAACCAACAACAGGTTGTGAAAAGTGAAACTTGCTTCATTCAGCTTTGAAAGCTTTGGGGCGTCTCTGAAAGTTCTCTAAATGTTACATAATGCCTTGGCTCTTTCTTTCTCTCTCAACTGTGCCAAGCGTTCATGATCAGCAAAAAACAAAACACAACAGGCTGGTTTCTCAGCTCCCTCCCTCCCACATAGTTTACTTTTCCAGGAAAAGCAAGGTTCCTTTGGTGACAAACAGAAACCTGAGAGCAGCAGAACTGAGTAGTGCTGCACAGCACTGGGGAGATCCCACAGATCCCAGGGCACAAAACAACCTCAACAACTTACATTTTTATAGGGCCCTAAAACAGTAAACCATCAAGGCGCTTCAGAGGAGCAATGTACAAAATTTGACACAGAAGGAGCTAATTTTAGGACAGGTGACCCAAGGCAGCCAAGAAACTTTTTAAAGAATCTCTTAAAGTAGGTGAGGAAGGAGAGAGGTTTACGGAGGGAATTCCAGAGCTCAGGGCCCAGGCAGCTGAAGGCATGGCCGCCAATGGCTCGACAATTAAAATTAGGAATTTTAACAGCCCCAAGTAACCGCATGACACTAACACCCGCTGGAGGTACAAAACATCATTGTAGGAATTCAATAAATAAAGTTGATGGTGAAACTGGACAAAGTGGAGGGCCAGAAAGGAAGGGTTTTCTCCCCGCCACTAAAGACCCATTATTGCTTTGTCCTCCCATATGACTTCTAGCTGCCCCAGAGCTTTCACTGGATCTGACAAATAGGGGAAAGCAGACAAAGTGACCACAAAGAAGCAGTCCTGAGATGAAGATACATTCAGAAAACAAAAAATGCTGGAAATCACAGTGGGTAAAGCAACATCCATGGAAAGAGAGCAAGCTAATGTTTTTGAGTCTAAATGACTCTTCAGAGTTGAGCAGCTTGCATTTTCTGGGGCTGGAATGAAACTGCATAGACAGAGGCTATTCGTCCCACTCTGCCTCCGCTGTTCCTATCTCAACTTATCTCACTAAGGTACAAAGGATCTGAGCACAATGAAGCTATTGCGCCATCTGGTGGCACAATGCATCACTGCAACACAAATACCAAATTGAAGATTTGCATTTACAGAGCACCCACTGCAATATCAGGACCTGGCAAAGTGCTTTACAGGCAATAAGCAGAAGATTTCACACAGCAGGGAGCAGGAAGGAATTGCAATCCCACCAACCCAAGGCTCCTGTCACATGAGAACACGGTGACAGTGAATACGTACCGTGTCTTGGGGAGCATGAACGGCTCCTTCTCGGGTACTCCTTCTCCCACTCGTCCCTTTCTTTATCTCTGCGTTCTCGCTCCCTGCATTTTTTTTTGGTGGAGTGTGGGGGGTAAAGAGGAGGAGACAGCAGGAAGTAAAGTGAACAAACAGCACTGTGCAACAAAACAAAAACACAACAAACTGTGCTCCTAGATGCTATCCGTACAACTGCGCAGTTCCTAACTTCAACATTCTACTTGCTAGTCACTCCACAGGATAAGTACCCAAACAAGCTTGACTATTTTTTCTCACTTTCCCAATCGTAATGTTCCCACCCTCGATATTAAAGATTTCAAAGGATATGGAGATTGTGCACAAAAGTGGCATTGAGCCACTGACTAGATGAGTGACAGAGCAGGCTCAATGGGCTGAATGCCCTACTCCTGCTCCCATATCCTATGTTCTCCCCACCATTTCTGGAGCTTTGGAGTCACCAGCACTGGCTTCTCTGCAGTGTCTCAGTGGTGAGGCCATCATTCACAGCCAAGCCTAAACCTCTAGCAGGAACAGCACAGTTATACAGTGTTGGGCATGCACACACAAACACAGCCATTGTTTTTAAAGAAGGGAAATTATTTTTGAAACTCTTCATGACAAAACAAGGGCCCACAAGTGTTAATATAGCAAATAGTTAGGCAGGGTTATTTAATTAATTAACTACCTTGTCTGGGCGTGTTGGCTAATCAATAAATAAAATACCACGGGTGATTTGGTGATGGGGAAAAGAAGACTTCACTTATGTGTAAAAGCACCTCTGGATATGAGAAAAAAAACTAATTGATCAGATAGATATAAAAGGAGATTTCTTGTGGTACAGTGGTAATTTCCTTAACTGTGCGTGCGCGTGCGTGTGTGTGCACACGCCCAGATTCAAGTCGGACCTGCTCCAGAAGTGTGTAACAATGTTTCTGAACAATTTAATTAGACAATATCTAAAAGACGAATAGGTGGAAGCGGTGTGTGGAAGGAGCTGTAAGACTGAGCAGTCAATAAACTCTAACTACAAAGAACGGTGACTGGCTTGGATCGAGATTGACGTGCAGATTCTGATGAAATGATCAATACAGATTTTGATCCACTTGTGGGGAATTGATGTTCTGTTCATGAAGAGCATTCTGGCGCCACCTTGTGGGGAGACAAGAATTCAACAGAAGAAGCAGTGACCTTGCCCATATCATCCTACCCCACCTTGTTGGAGCACAAGAGTATGCCTGAGCTCGTCAACAAATCAATTTTTATCAAGGATAAGTTAGCCTTCAAAGGAAGACATGTGGTAGGAGCAGATCTGAGTCATTTGGCCCCTTGAGCCTGTTCCATCGTTTCACTTAATAAGATTGTGGCTGATCTAACTGCGGTCCCAACTGCACTTTCCTGTCCCCACCCTCCAGCCCCTCACCTCCAACAACCCGACTCCCTCGTCTATCAAAAATCTGACACAGCCTTAAATATACAAAAAACCAGCTTCCTCTGCTCTTTGTGGGGGTCGGGGGAGAGACAGCATTCCAAACATTAACTATCCTTGAAGAAATTCCTTCCCATGTCCATCTTCAATGGACAAACCGAAACTGCACGTCCCACCACAATTCATACTGAAACGAGGTGGTCTGGAATTAAACCACGGTTGCAAGCTGATCTCGCGTGAAACAGTACTTGAAAAGGACTTATTTTCAGACAGCAAGGTGACTTGGTGAGGGACTGGGAAGTGTGTGGCGGATCACAACGAGAACAGGATCGAACTCGTGGCTCGACAATAGCTTGCTACCTGTATTTTGGCAACAAGCATGGGCCTGGGTACCAATAACAGTTGGAAAAGGGAACGAGCAGGGGAGGAAGTGCCGCTGAACTGCCTTTGTTGATTTGCAGAAACACTCGAATTGTTCAAAGCACATGAATGTACAAATTAGAATAGCTTTCTGCATTGCTTCTCTGTTGGATCCACACCATGGTCACAACCAGTGAAGCTAAGTGGAGATCTGAAGCAGAGGTTACAGCAGCCTTATACGGTAATTTACTGCGCACACAAAGACAGACGGAGGGAGAAGAAAAGTATTACTTTAGTCGGATCTTTCGAGCCATGGCTCGTAGTTCATCTTCACGCTCCTGAAAAGAGAAACATAAACAGTTCGATCGAAGTGTTTACTCACAGATTATTTCAAATTTTCCACATGTAACAAGGTTTCTCTCTACCCACCTAGGTATAAGTCCCAGGGTTGCAGCTCCAACAGATTCTGTCACTGTTCCTCTTTCACCCCCACTCGCTTGCCCCTGCACTCCACTCCCACCGTCATTCTCAGCCACCCTCTTTGTCTAATCCACCAGTTCCTTAATTTCTTCCCACATGCACAATGCTCCTCTTGCTTAACCATCACACCCTAGGGACCTGCTCTTTATCCACAATCAAGCCAGGCTCATTATTATCTGTGGTGCAAGACTCCTTGCTGGCTCTCCTCCAGTTTCTCCGACTGCAACATTCTTTCCTTGTTTCCCTCTCTCAATGTCTACATCTTGATTAAGCCACTTTAATGTTAGTTCTGCCCCTGGAATAAGTATCCCCCTTAGTACTTTCACCAATACTCTAAATCCCAAGGCCCTCTCCCTTTGGCTGTCCATCGCTAACATGCTGAACAGTTCCCTTGTTTAACACCTTCTGACAAAGTCTCTTGCAGTCTCCTAATAACCTGCCTTGCACCATGCTCAAAACCATACATTCCCCAGCTCCACATCATCAGACTAGAGGCTTGATGGTCTACTAACAGATCTAGCATGATCACGCTAAGAAATACACTGGCGAGGCTGCTTTAATACCAAATTGTGTTGTGTAGTCTTGCATACGGTGGTCCATTTACAGAGAGAACAGAACACAGGCCAGTACATCACACAAACCAGCCTTCCGTCCATCTATATTCCCATTGGCTCAAGAAAGCAACCAACCTAATCAAAGACCCCTCCCAACCCGGTTATATTCTCTTCCAACCTCTTCCGTTAGGCAGAAAGTATAAAAGTTTGTACACACGTACAAACAGATTTTAAGAACAGCTTCTTCCCCCACTGTTACTAGACTTCTGAATGGACCTCTCAAGTTTTAAATTTAATGTTGATCCCATTCTTTGTAGCCACCACATTGTATTCCTCGCTAATGCACTTGGTACGGTTTGATCTGCCTGTACTGCATGCAAAACAAAACTTTCACTGTACTCTAGGTGCACATGACAATAATAAATCAAATCAAAGACTGCTATAAGGCAGTATGATAAAACACCCATCCAGATTTTTGGCTCAAGCGCCTAAGGTAAGACTTGCACTCACAACCTGCAGGGGCCAAACTGAGAATTAGGGCTGGGGAAGGTGGTGCTGTAGCAGTAATGTTACTGGGTTAGTACTGCAGACACCCCAAGCTATTATTCTGGGAACATGGGTCTGAATCCCATCATGGTACCAAACCCTACAGCGCAGGAGGAGACCTTCACCATTCCTGTGTCCCACACCCATTTGTCTCTCAGCCCTATGATTGTCCTTGTCAAGCAGATCTCCAATTGCTTTGTGAAAGTTAATAATGATCTGCTTCCACCATCCTTTCAGGGAAGGCGGGTTTCAGATCACACCAACTCGCTGTGTCAAAATATTTTCATCTCCATCCTAGCTCTAGCAATCTTAAATTTGTGTCCTCTGATGGCCAACACAATGATAGCTTCAGGCAAGCAAGTGATTCCGATCAGGGTGACAGGCAGCAACACAGTTATGTTATTTGTACTTGTATTTGCTACTTATCAAATTGTGGTGGAACCATTCCTCATTGGTGGATAAATCCCCAATCTGAGCACCAGGATCTGTCAGTAAACACAACTCAAAGTCATAACATCGTAAGAGAAGGGCAACTGGATCTTTGGGCCTAATTCACCATTTGATAAGTGACTGTGGTTTTAATTCCATTCATCTCCCTGACCCCACATAATCTTTGACTCCCTTGTGAATCAAAAAAAAAATCTTCTCTAACTCCGCTCTGAATAAATTAAATGATCCAGCCCTCACTACTCTCTGGGGAAGAGAATTAAATGGGAGATCCCTCATTTTTAAGCTGTCCCCTAGTTCTCAATTCCACACAAAGGGGAAACATCCTCTCAGAATCTAGGCTGTCAAGGTGCCTCAGAATACTATATATTTTTCTAAGATCACTTCCCCTGCCCCCACTGTAGAGGCCCAGTCTGGTCAACTTTTGGACCTGGGACAACCACAACACCACATCCCAGGGATCAGCCTTGGGACACTTCCTTGAAGTATACTGTAACATTGTATAAGTATATCATTGTATAAGTTTATAAGTAACATTGTAAGTATATCTCTTCTTAAAAAGGAGGAAGCCAAAACTATACACAGTACTCAGATGAGGTTAAACTAGTGCCTATTCAATTGTTGCAAAACTTCCCTACTTTTAAACTCTATCCGCTCATAGTAAAAACCAACATTTAATTCGCCTTCCTAATTATCTAGCGTACCTACATACTGACATTTTGTGATCCATGAGCAATACCAGATCTTTTCTGTACTGTAGCACTCTGTGGTCTCTATTTAAAAGTTACAGTCAGTAGAAATGAATATGAACAAGAATTTAAATCCCCCTGCAACCTTCCATGAGATGCAGCTGTTCAGCACTGAGGAGCGAACTCTGTTATAGACTAAGCACTAGCCACACGCCCTAAAATATGACACTTGAAATACCAGTCAACCAAGGAATCAAAAATGGCTAACGGGATGCTGGCTTCTATGTGAAGGCGGCTGGATGAAGCTTTGTTTTAGTTAAACAGAGCCTTGGTCTGACCCATCTGAAGTAAAACATTCTCTGGAAAGAGATACTGCTTTTGGAAGGATGCACTCTGCTTGGCAGTACATTTGAGCTTAAAGAGTTAAGACGTTAGGGTGCTTCAGATTGACTTGTATTTTACAATGAATGCCCAATCTAATGACAAAGGGATCAAGGGAGGCGATGGCCTAGTGGTATTATCACCAGAGACTACAGATATTATCCAGAGACCCATGTAATGTTCTGAGAACCCAAGTTTGAATCTGGCAGAATTTGAATTCAATAAAAATCTGGATTTAGGAGTCTAATAATCCATTGTTGATTGTCAGAAAAACCCATCTGGCTCACTGATGCCCTTTAGGGAAGGTAACCTGGTCTGGCCTATGTCACTCCAGACCCACAGCAATGTGGTTGACTCTTAACTGCCCCCTTGGCAATCAGGGATAGGCAATGAATACTAGCTTAGCCAGTGACATCCACATCCCGTGAATGAATAAACAAAAAAAGAGAAACTTGTCTCCGTCACAAGTGATTCCAGAAAAAATTGTGATTAACTTTTAGAGCCAGGTCTGTTTAGCAGTGAACTAGCACTTCTTCGCGCAAAGGGTCAAGTAATACGGAAATCACCTTCCTCAAAAGATGTGATGCTTGAGAAATTTGCCAGACTAATAACATTTTTTTTTGTTCATTGTTCCTCCTGCCGATACATTGGCATTAGAAGTTGGTCCCGCTGATTTTATTTTGCGCACATTGTAGCTACACTTCTTTTGCTGCCCCACTTCCCAGTCTCCTCTCTGTCCTACTCACCACTCCCTTGTATTCCCCTCCCCGCAATTCTCTGCTACATTCGCTATCACTCCCCTCGACATTGTATTTAAGGTTCAGGGTAGTGTGTGAAGCAGTGAGGGGTCTTTTGGAAAGCTCCTCTGGGTCAACAGTTTTGCAAACGTTTTATAACTGGGAGATTTAACAAAAAAAAAGAAAATGTATTAAGCTTCCTAATGCAGTTAGTCTGATTTGGGGAGGGTGGATTTCAGGCAAACTTTGGTTTAAATGAAAAGAACACTTTCAGATGCAGGCAGCAACATGCAGCATTAATGGCAATGATGTCTCACACACACTGATTCTGCCTGGGTGGTGGGTACACTGGATTCTGGCATAGGTAAGCATTTTATGGATTATGTGACAACAGCAGGTTAAGTAGAATTAAGCCACAGATCAGCCATGACCTAAAGAAGTGGGATGAATAGTCTAAAGAGCCTGAATGGCTTCCTTCTATTGCAATGTTTCTAAACATCCCACATCTGCAACAACTCTTCCCGCAATCTGCTTGGCTGTTGCTGCCCTGGGAGATTACCTGTCGCTCCTGTTCTTGCTGCATCTGTTTCTCCTGAGCCGCTTTCTTGTCAGCTTTAACTGGAGGAGGCAAAAAAAGGATTAACTTCTGTCAATACGTGCCTGAAGAGGTATTCCCACTCCCACACGTCTGATCATTCTAATGTACTTTCTCCCTCCAGGGAACTCAATCCCCAGCTACTCTCAATCCCTCTGGATGATTTGATAGGCCCACTTGTGACGCTGTTCCTAAGCCCAGCAGAGGTATGGTATCTTGGCCCTCAGTTTGTAATGGATTAGCGGGTCTGCAGCCAGTGGTGAGGGGTAATTCACATTTCACCCAAGATACATCTGAGCCTGGCAACCACAGGATGGGGGAAATTGGACTGGGGGAATCAGTCAGGGTTTCCTTCCCCCAGATTTCAGTCTCCTAGAGAACATGCCCATACTGTGGACATTGGGCATGGCTGGGTTTGATCATGACTTTCGGAGATGAACAGCTACTCCTCAGTCACTGTTCAAGGTCATTTGTAAACAGGACCACTTGGGTTGTGTAACTTGAGCACAACATGTTGTAGAATGTACAGAAAATGAACAGTCACACGTATAGCCTCCTAGAGGCCTACAGCACAGAAAAAGGCCCTTTGGCCCACTGAGTCTGCACTGGAAAAAGACAAGCGCCTAACCCATTCTAATTCCATTTCCCAGCTTATATGGCACCTTTCACAGCTGCTGGGTTGTCTCAAAGCACTTAGTAGCCAGTGCAGTACTTGTTGAAATGTAGTCACCACCACAGCACGCTCCCACTAACAGCAATGTGACAGCAACCAGATTCTCTTTTTTGTGTGCAAGATGCTGATGGAGTGATAAATACTGGGTCAGAGCACTGGAGAGAATTCCCTCATTCTTCTTCAAAATAGTGGCCATGGGATCTTTCACATCCACCTGAGCAGACAATTTAATGTTTCATCAGAAAGACAGCACCTCAAAGTAGCATGTCCCTCAATACCACATCGGAGTGTCAGCACTGATTTGTGTGTTCAAACCCCTGCGTGGTCCTCTCTTCTGAAGTACAGAGTTTGGACAAAACAGGAGTTTTACTTTGTATCTAATCCCATACTGTACCTGTTCTGGGAGTATTTGATGGCGACATTGTGGACTGAGCTTTACTCTGTATCTAGTCCTGTGCTGTCTCTGTTCTGAGAGTATTTGATGAGGGAATGGTGCAGAGAGAGCTTTATTCCATATGTGACCCTGTGCTGGGAGTGGTTGATGGGAGACAGTGTGGAAGGAGCTTTACTCTGTATCAAACCCCATGCTGTCCCTGTCCCAGGAGTGGTTGATGGAAATGTATAGGTAGATTTACTATTTATATAACCAGCAGAATTAGGAGAACCTGTTCCTTGGTCAAAGCACTGACTCAACGATCACCTTGAAGGACAGAAAGTTAACAAAATCCCACAGGGGTTAAAAGAAACAAATTGGGACTTAGAACCTTACACTGTTTATTCAGCGCCTTCTGCATGCGGAGTTTCAGCTTTTCCTGTGGTGTCAGCTTTGGCTGGAAGAAAGAAAAAAGGTGACATTTGTTCAGAGCCAATATTCCAGCAAGTCAGACAGTATCAAAATCCTGCAGCATCACGTCGAGAGAAACAGCACGGAACGGGACTCATTTTTCACCCTGGAAACTCTGACTGCCTTGGCAACAGTCAACCAACCAGCCTGTGGGAAAGGGAGATTTACACCATTTCAAGTTACAATTAAGGGTTTTCTGCAACCTAGATGAATGCAAACATAAGGTAAGGGTTTATTGCACGCAGTACACTTAGTATTGATTCGAATAATAGCAGAATCAATCAGAATTTGAACTCTCTGCAACACAGTAAGCAAGGGTCTGACAACCATGCCATTAAGCACTGCTAGCTGGCACTGTTGATTCAGCCCCTAAATTACAATGTGGTACCAACATACAGCATTGTTGCAAAGACTACTGATTGCAGCACCATGTTAAATTTTCTGTTTGGTACTGAGCCGTTCAGGAAGTTAACACTAGTACCCTGGGCATCTCAATGTACGTGCATGACACATTGCAGACTTGAGAATCCTGTTGCAATCTCACTGCTAAAAATGAAGATGGGTCCAAGCCTCAGTGAAGAAAAGATAATTAAACCAGTTTTGTGGTTTAACCTTGTGGGAGCAAGTGGTCATTAAAAAATTGACAGAACATACTTTCTGTTAAGTCTTTAGACAGTGGATCACACAGGACTAACAGTGTTAAATGCTTCAATGAGGATTCCATATGAAAACCTCCAGACATTAATCAGGAAACAAAGGTCAGCTTTGCTAAGGCAGGTGCTCACATTTACAAAGGAGGTGGAAATGACAATGAGAAATTAAACATCTTCAAACCTGAGGCCTCGAGTCTGGGATTCAAGAGGGAAATGTTCAGGGTGAGTGAGATATCATTTCTCTGTCTGTCCTCAAATATAACAGCGTTAGGAAAAATTCTGCCCCCACATTTTTTCCCCACTCTCACTGAGGGTGCAGACTTAATGCTTTGTTATTGCTGCTGCTGTGTTCTAATAAAGTCATGTCTACTGGGACCACTGGCAGCTTAACTGGGTTCAGAATATGGTCAACTAAATCAGAAAGTGGAGTACAAGACCCACCCCAACATGAGAGACTTGCATTTACACAGCACCTTCCACAAGTTTCAAAGCACTTCACAGTCAACGAACTATGATTTGAAGGGTGATCACTGTTGGAAATGCAGCAGCCAATTTGCATACAAGCTCCCACAAACAGCAATGGGAATGTCCAGATCATTTGTTTCAGTGATCTTGGGTGAAATGATAAGAATATCAGGGACAACTTCCCTGTTGTTGTGACAGATAGTGCCTCAGGATCTTCCTTTTTCCACCCACTACAAGGCGGCAGATTGTGCCTCATCCTCATTCGAAAAACAGTACATCTGACAGCACAGTGTCCCCTCATCATTGACTGGAATGTGACCTGGATCACAGGCAACTCGCCAATGACACAGCCATGTAGTAAAGGCTGACGCTTCAGTACAGTACTGAGAGGAGATGTTTATCGGAGGGCCTGTTATGGGTAAATATAAAAGGTGCTCTCATGCTGTTCTTGGAGTAAGCGAAGTGCCCTGGTTAATAGTCATTTTTCTCATTTAAGTGCCCTGTCATATTTGTCCTGCACAAAAACAGACTGTAGTTCCAAAACAGTAATTTGCTTAGTGCTGTGTTAGCATTTGGCTATATAAACTAGGTTCATTCTTATAAATAGCACAATTTCTTTCTGGACTGTTTAAAATGGCCACAGTAACTCTAACTAGATCCTTTGGACTGTGTGTAAATGTACCTATGGGTCACAAAGGACAGTGTCAGAGCGTGCAGCAGCCCTCTAGGAGTCTGACCCTATACGTCAGAAAATGAAAAGCCTACAGAATAGCTTGGGAAAGGCTTTTTTTAAAAAAACAGTTGGTTTTAGTAACTTAGGCTCGACATGATCAAAGTGAACATTGAAAACTCCTGGCTTCCCACAGTCATTTAAACTTTCACCGTACTGTTTTCCTAACAATTGGTCTGAAGGTTCATGCACCATTCTGCCTTTTACTGAAAATGTTCAAACCTCCTTTGGAAAACTGAATACCGAACTGACTTACAATCACCTTGTGAATTTTTACTGCCTTCCCGGATGGGTTTAACCCTTTGTGGGGTGCAATTCAACAAGAATCAGCTGTTTCCTTGCATCATGCACAAGGCAGACAGCAGGGACTGTTGTACTGTGGAAGATGAACACTCACTTGACGCAGGACGTGGGCAAGTCAAAAGAAGCCAGTCTACAGCCAGAAAAAAAAAAGACCTGGCTTTACTTCCTCCTGGACACACTGGTTGCTGAATAATGTCTGGAAATGCTGCCCAAGGCCTTGACCACTTATGGAACACAGGGGTCTTTCAGGCCTGCACGACTCAGAAAAATGCCTAATTTAAGAGGATGATTGGAATAGTTGTCATGGTGATGCAAAAAGATTTAAAATAAGTTGCCTTATAACACTGTAAAACCTATTTAGCCAACACTGGTAAACCACCTCTGCTGTTGCACACGTTTAGCTGACAGAATTGAAACACACTTCAGAAACTCACTTGAGTATCCCCAACGGCTAGAAACTGCAAGTACAACTGTGACAGTTGACATAGCAAAATTCAGTGGAAAATATGATACGTTAATAGAAAAGCTAACCAGCAATTGTACAATGTGGAAGCATTAATCCTGCAAAATATAGACCTGTAACAAATTCTAAAATATCTCTGCAGTAACTTTAGAGCATTCACAGAATCACAGGAGAGAGGAAGATTAGAGACGAGCCTTATTGATTCTTCGGCAGTTCACTGCCTTTGAATTTTAGTACAATTTGGGGGGAGACAGAAAGGGAACATATTAGAACTCATTAAAAATTAATACAGTTTCTGCATGTGGGCCAAACTGGTATGCACTCTGCTTCGTGTTTCCAGTCACTTGGCCTCAAGGACAATTTCAGGTTAAAAAGAAAAGCTACTAAAAGTTGCTGAAAGACTACTTGAGGCTGCATAAGTGTTTCTGTGAGGTTTTCAGAAGGGCTGTGTTAACGGAGGTGAGCTAAAATTCTTACTGACTTTGGCAGCTCCGGACTCTTTACCCACAGGAGTGTCAGACCTGGAATGAGAGAAAGATAGAGAAAATGCACAGTTCAGAGGACAACACAGTGCAATTTAACCAACATCTGTGTTTCACCAACTTTTAGGAAACGGAACAATACAAACCAGTAGTTCCTAAATTTAACTGTTGATCTGACGAATAGCTTTCAACAGGTGCGAGATGGAAAACTGAATAAAATCAACAACGAACTTGACTTAAGAGTAGAAATTGCTGGAAAATCTTGGAAAAACTGGAAAGGAATCAGACTTTACGTTTCGGGTCCAGTGACCCTTCTTCAGAAGGGTATGTTCTGAAGAAGGGTTACTGGACCCGAAACGTTAACTCTGATTTCTCTCTACAGATGCTGCCAGGCCTGCCGAGCTTTTCCAGCAATTTGTTTTTGTTTCTGATTTCTAGTATTCTCTTCTTTTGGTTTTGATTTAAGGGCAGTAGGCCATTCAGCTCCTCTCTACTCCACTTGTTGTTATTAAGATCCATCTGGTTTCTAATGTCCTTTACAGAAAGAAATCTGTTGCGCTTCCCCAGTCTGAACTACATGCGACTCCAGAACCACAACAATGCAGTTCACTCTTACGTGGCCTAACAAGCCTCTCACTTCAAAGGCAATTAAGGATGGACAACTAACGGTGATGTTGCCAGTGACTCCCATATCTCACAAAAGATTTCAGAAAATAAACTGACAGCCTAAACATTAATGAAAAGAGTCACAAGCAATTCAAAGTCATGCTCACTTTTTCAATTTCTCGCCCATGGCAGGTGAAGCAGCCACTTTTCCCAGGTTCTCTTTGACGGGGGACAAAGATTTGCTCTGACTCTGGGAGCCACTCATACTGTCGCTGCTGCTCCGACTGCTGCTGTTCCAACGTCGACTCGAGCTGTAGCTTGTCCTGGTGCTCCGGCGATAACGGTCACCTGAACGCGAATGACTCCTTGACCTTAAATAAGAAGCAAAGATCCAACAACAGTGTGAAGGAGGGGCAAGGTACGCACTGTCAATTTGGATCCAGATACTACGTGGAACCAAGACAACTTTCTTTGCGGATAGAGTTTATTAACTACTCAGTCTTGCAGCTCTTTCTGCATACCATTCCCATCTATCCCTCATTTGGATACTTAATCAAGCTGTTCAGAAGGTAATGTGGCCAAGCAGCAGTGTCGCTACCTCTGAGCCAGAGAGCCTGGGTTCGAGTGCCAGCTGCTCCAGAGGTGTGTAATAATATTTCTGAACAGGTTGAATAGAAAATACAAAAGGACTATACATCCCTAAACAGGTTGATTAGAAAGTATCTCAGCCTGTTCAGAGGTTATTGTGGCACGGTGGTAATTGCCTATCTCTGAGCCAGGAGGCCCAGGTTCAAGTCTAACAGTGGTGTGCAATAGCATCCCTGAATAGGTTAATTTCAAACATCTGAAAATTGGTAACTGGAAGTGATAATGGCTGGTCTTTGCATATTGCAAACTGATGGCTCCTTCTTGGGAGTTCCAGGAGGCCAGGGTGCAAGCCCTACCTGTTCTAGAGGTGTGCAATGATATCCTTGAGCAGGTTGATTAGAAAATATATATTCAAATATATTATGATACACCTGCCAAACAGGTTAGACCTGAACCCAGGCATTCTGAGCTAGACGTAGGGACACTACCAGTGCGACCCGTACAGCCTCCTGTTCCCCATTTATATCTAGCCAATTAATCACTTAACTCTAATCACTTAGCTATATTAAGACATACCTAGGCATTTTCCTGTCTCTCGTAACCTTCTGCCCTCCTCTCCTTAAGGTTCTAACTTGCTGGGTACTTTATCAGCTTCATTGGAACTTCGTGCAAGTATTACATTAATTCACAGCTCAGAAATAGGCCATTCAGCCTTACTGATCAATGTCAGCGTCATGGCACTACACAAGCCTCTTCCCACCCCTCTTTATTTCACCGTCAGCATACCCTTCAAACTATCCTTTTCTCATTTATCTAACTTCCCTCTCATTATCCAAGCGAACATCACATGTCTGTGCTACACTTGACCATGTTCAGTATCAGAGGCATGACTCCTCACGCTGTTTGTAAACACATCACCAGCTCTCCAATAGCCCCAAATAATTTTCTTTTCCTTTCTGAGTTGCCTCCTTCCCCTAACCCTGTAACTCCCTCCTAACAACATTTCTTTGAGTCTAGCTCCACTGATTCAGGGGCTCAGATGGAGAGCAATATTAGATGTATCCAGAAGGGCTTTTTCAGATAGTATGTTGACAATCCAGAGAGGAGGCCAGATTAGACTTGGTATTAGGGAATGAGTCAGGACAGGTGATCAAAGTTTCAGTAGGAGAGCATTTTGGGCTTAGTGACCATAACTCCATAAGATTTTGAGTAGCCATGAACAAGGACAAGAGTGGCCCTCAGGTGAGGGTGCTTAGTTTTGCAAAGACTAATTACATCCAAATTAGACAGGAACTGGGGAATGTGGATTGAGAGCAGTTATTTGAGGGCAAATCTATGTGTGACATGTGGGAGGCTTTTAAAGACCAGTTGATTAAAGCGTAGGACATGCATGTCCCTGCAAAACTGAGGGATAGGAATGGCAGGATTCAGGAACCACAGATGACAAGGGAAATTGTAAGCTTAGTCAAAAGGAAAAAGGAAGCATACGATAGGTCTAGGCATCTACAAACTGACAAAGCCCTTGAGGAGTACAGAGAAAGTAGGAAGGACTTAAACGAGGAATTAGGAAGGCTAAAAGGGGCAATGAAATGTCTTTAGCAAACAGGGTCAAGGAAAATCCCAAGGCTTTTTATGCATACATTAGAAGAGGGTAGCAAGGGAAAGAGGAGGCCCACTTAAGGACAAAGGAGGGAAGTTACACATGGAGCCATAGGAAGTGGGAGCGATTCTTAATGAGTAGAGATAGTAGCAACGGCCAATGCTGGAGAATCTGAGATAACACGGTGTAGAGCTGGATGAACACAGCAGGCCAAGCAGCATCAGAGGAGCAGGAAAGCTGACGTTTCGGGTCGAGACCCTTCTTCAGAAACGTCAGCTTTCCTGATTCTTAATGAGTACTTTGTATCAGTATTCACCAAGGAGAAGGATATGACTGATATTGAGGTCCGGGATGAGTATGTGAATTTTTTAAAGAGGTCACAGAGATAACCGATGAGGGAAGGGTTGTGGATGTAGTTTACATGGGCTTTAGTGAGGTATTTGATAAAGTCCCACACAGTAGATTGGTACAAAAACTAAAATCACATAAGATTCAGGGTGGGCTTCCTAGATGGACACAAAACTAGCTTGGTCATAGAAGACAGAGGGTAACAGTAGAAGAGTGCTTTTCAGAATGGAGATTGGTCCTCTGTTGTTTGTAGTATATATAAATGATCTGGAGGAAAATGTAGTGGTCTGATAAGTAAGTTTGCAGATGATACAAAGATTGATGGAATTGCTGATAGTACCAATGATTGTGAAAGGACAAAACAGGGTATGGATAGATTGGCAACTTGGGCACAGAAATGGTGTTTAATGCAGACAAATGATAGGTAATGAATTTTGGAGGACCAGATTTGTGTGAATAATACTGTTAATGGCAGAACCCTTAGGAACATTACATACAGATGGGTCTGGGTGTGCAGGTCCACAGTTCCCTAAAAGTGGCGATACAGGTGACCAAGCTGACTAAAAAGGCAAATGGCATGCTTGCCTTCATCGGCCGGGGCATGGGGTACAAAAGTTGGCAAAACATATTGCAGCTATATAAAACCCTTGTTAGGCCGATTTTGGAGAGCTGTGTGCAGTTTTGGTCGCCACACTACCAGAAGGATGTGGCAACTCTGGAGAGAGTGCAGAGAAGATTCACCAGGATGTCGCCCGGCCTTGAGGGCATTGGCTCCGAGTAAAAGTTTAAAAGACTAGGATTGTTTTCACTGGAAAGACGGAGGCCGAGAGGAGACCTGATAGAGGTCTACAAAATTATGAGAGGCTTACATAGGGTGGATAGTCAGAGGCTTTTTCCCAGGGTTGAAGTTTCAATTACAAGAGGGCACAGATTCAAGTGTGAGCGGGGTAAAGTTTAAGGGAGATGTGTGAGGTAAGGTTTTCACGCAGGGAGTGATAGGAACCTGGAACGCACTGCCAGAAGAGGTGGTGGAAGCAGGCACATTGGCGGCATTTAAGAGGCATCTGGATGGTTACATAAATAGGGAGGGAATAGAGGGATATGGACTGAATAAGGGCAGAAGGTTTGTTTTTTAGTTTTAGTTAGGGCATGATGATTGGCACAGGCCTGGAGGGCCGAAGGGCTTGTTCCTGTACTGTACTTCTCTTTTGCTCTTTTGTGTCACTCCATCAATGCTGGATGAGTGGGTTCACATTCAAATTCACTTTCGAAAATGACTCTATTGCTGATTTTCAGTTAGGATCCACATTAAAATCCACCTCTATGGCCAAAACTCTGGTCTCTCCTAGCCACTGCAGATACCATGTGTTGGCTTCCTTCCTTCTGAGCTGTAAGAATTCTGTGACACCTCCTACTCGACCTTCCTTCCCTCGACCTTCTGAAGAAGTCACACTGGACTCAAAATGTTAAACCTGTTTCTTTCTCCACAGACATTGCCAGAATGCTCAATTCCTCCAGCATTTTGTGTTTATTACATTCCTACCTATCTTGTTTCTTCAACAAATGTAGCCAGCACACATTTGGTCCCTTCATCCAAGTCATTGAAACAGTTTGTAAGTATCTCTGGTTCCAACACTGATCCCTATGGCACTCCACTACTTAACAGTCTGCCAACTTGAAAGAGTCTACTGTTTCCCATTAGCTAACAATCCTCTATCCATCGTAAAACATTACCTTGAATGCCACAAGCTCTTATGTTCAGTAATGTTTTAATGTGGTGACCCATCAAATACTTCTGGGAATCTAAATGTTGCTCATCCACACACGGTCCATGCTGTTACTTGCTTCCTCAAAGAACTTCAATAAATTAGTCAGACATAATTTCTCTGTCATTAAACTATGCTGACTCTGCTTGATGTCACGGAGACTTACTAAGAGCCCTGTCATAACCTTAAGATCAGATTCCAGCATTTTCCCGATTACAGATGTTAAGCCCAACAGACCTGCAGTTTCCTTTTATCTGGAATAGAAGAGTCTCTTTCACTATTTTCAAATCTGAAGGTTATCAGTTTGGAAAATAAGGATAATCTTGTAAATGGAACACACTGCTGCTATTGTGGCGCCAGTGGTGGAGGGAGTGGATGTGGACGGTGATGGATGGGGAGCCAATCAAGTGACTGCTTTGTTCTGGATGGTGTTGAGGTTCGGGTGTTGATGGAGCTGCACTCAATCAGGCAAGTGTGGAGTGTTCTTTCATGCTCTTGACTTGTTCCTTGTAGGTGATGGGCAGGTTTTGAGGAATCAGGTAGTGAGTTACTTACCACTGAATTCCCAGCCTCAGGTGTGTCTTGTATCCACTATACTTATATGGTTAGTCAAGTTCAGCTTCTGGTCAATAGTAACCCCCAGGACATTGATAGTGGGAGATTCAGCAATGTTAATGTCACTGAATATCAAAGGGAGGTGGTTAGATCATCTGACATTGGAGACTGTCATTGCCTGGCACTTGTGTTGTTTTAAAGTGCCTTTAATGAAATTAAAAATGTTCCATGAGATTTTACTTTGTGTTAGAAAATTTAAAAAAAGGCCCTCAAAGACAATATTTGGGCAACCTTGTTAGAAAGTTATGTTTCTAAAGACCATCTTAAAAGAGAAAAATGAGGTGGCGAGACATAAAGGTTGGGGAGGATATTCTAGAGTTTCAAGGTCACATCATCTGAAGATGTAGCCTTCAATGATGGTTTGATTAAAATCAGGATTGTTGTGAAGTAAGAATTAGAGGAACACTGAGATCTTGAAGTGTTGTGGGGCTGGAGGAGGGTATACAGATAAAAGGAGGGGTGAGGCACCAGATGGATTTGAAAAGGGATGGGATTCTCAAATTGAGATATTGCTTGGCTGGGTAAGGATGTTTCTCCTGAATTCCCCGCTGAATTTACAAATGGGTGTCTCATATTAATGACTCCCGAATCTAGTATTCCCTGCAAGTGAATAAGACATTTGGTATATTTACCTTTATTGGTCTGTGCATTGAGTATAGCAGTTAGGAGGTCATGGTGTGGTTGTACAGGACATTGATGAGGCCACTTCTGGAATACTGTGTTCAGTTCTGGTCTCCTTGCTTTAGGGAAGATGTTATTAAACTTCAAAGGGGTGCAGAAAAGATTTACGAGGATGTTGCCAGGATTGTAGGGTTCGAGCTATAGGGAGAAAATGAATAGACTGGGACTATTTTCCCTGGAGCATCAGAGGATGAGGAGTGACCTTATAGTGGTTTATAAAATCATGAGGGGCATGGATAGGGTGAATAACCACAGTGTTTTTCCTAGGGTGGAGGAGTCCAAAACTAGAGGGTATAGGTTTAAGGTGAGAGGGGAAAGATTTAAAAGGGACCGGAGGGGAAACATTTTCATGCAGAGGGTGCTGTGTGTATGGAACGAGCTGCCAGAGGAAGTGGTGGAGGCTGGTACAATGACATTTAAAAAGCATCTGGACGGGTACATGAATAGGAAGGGTTTAGAGGGATATGGGCCAAATGCTGGCAAATGGGACTAGACTAATTCAGGATATGTGGTCAGCAAAGACGAATTGGACTGAAGGGTCTGTTTCTGTGCTGTATAACTTTATGACTCGAAGCTGAAACATCTTTGCTACATCTTCCCAATGAAACAGTTTAGTGTTTTTTTAAATGGCTACTCATTTTTTTGCCGAGTTCACAATGGACTGTTGCTGTGTTACCACGATGAACTGGTAGCATACCTGGATCGCCTGCCGCGGCTGCGGGAGCTGACGTATCGCATCCTGTCGGCTGAGCGAGACTGCGAGCGTGAGCAGCGGCGCCCATCCCGGGAACACCCCCTGCCATACCGCCCGTGGGACCCGGAGTAGTGCCTGTTGCGCGAACGGGAGCGCGAGTAGCGGCTTGATCGCCGATGCCTGCGGGAATGGTGGTTACGAGAACCGGACCGAGATCTGGAAGACCTGGAAGAGGAAGAGGAACGACGCCTGTGGAAGTAAACAAAGAGAGAAAGCAGAGAGGGGGGAGAAAATGAAAATCAACAGAATACACTACATTTCAGAATACACTGCATCTCGCAAGCACCGAGACCAAACATGCTGCAACTTTCTTATACTCAAACCTCTCGTGACCTTTGAATCACAAATGTAAAAACTAGCACGCTGGAGGTGAAATTCAAGAACACCCTGCCCTGGGCTTGAAATTTCACTAACATAAAAAAAGAAAATACAATGCAAGTTGGAAAATTATAATAAACACAGATGATGTTGGAAGTACTCAGGTCTGGCAGATCCCTGAAGTGAGTGTGGGGGGGGGGGGGGGGGGGGGGATTTAAAAAAAAGACTTCACGTTTCAGGTTGATGACTACCACAACCAAGAAACGTTAGAAACTGAGCAACATAAGCAAGACATGAGTGGGAAAAATGGCAAAAGGGAATGCTTGTGATAGGGTGGAAGACAGACATCACATCTCTAACTGTTCCCAGTTCCAACGACAGGTCACTGACCTGAAGCACTAACTCTTTGGCTTCCATGCCTCCACAGACGCTGCCTCACCTGAGTATTTCCAGCATTTTCTGTCTTGATCTCTCAATTTAAGGGTCAGCTTGGTCTAAGTAGTTCCACTGAGCTGAGGAATTTTTGTCTGGGAACTCACCACATTCTAGGCTGACACTCCACTGCAGTGTCAGTGGAGTGTTGTATTGAATGGGGTGGGGGGTGGGGGAAGAGAAGGGAGTTGTAAGAAAATTGTGTTGTGATGGGGCAGAAGGATGTCAAAGAAATCCACCACCGCCAGAGGAGGATTATCAGGTTACATAACTCGATCGTTCGGTGGGATCTCTCTGTGCGCAAAATAATCCTCGTTTGCCTGCACAATAATCACAGCGCCTCAAATTAACTGCCCAGAAAAGTTGAGGTGCTTTGCTTGATGAGGAGCTTAACAAGGACAAGTCTTACCACGTGAAAACAGCCACAGCCTCCCATTAATCCCTAGCCACAAAACCTTCCTTTAACACAGAAGCATTGCTGCCACCAAAATTGCTTGGGTATGTCTTGCCATCATGCCCGCTTGCATTTATATAGTGACATTAACATAGAAGAACACTAGTGTTGCTTAATGCCTGTCAACATGCAGCATAAGCATCCGCTCGCTACTTAGGAGAAATTGTGGTCCAACTCAGAGTCATAGAATCATAGAGAATGTACAGCACGGAAACAGACCCTTCAGTACAACTCATCCACCCTGACCAGATATCCTAAATTAATCTACTGCCATTTGCCAGCATTTGGCCCATATCCCTCGTCCTATTCATATACTCAACCAGATGCCTTTTAAATGTTTTAATTGTACCAGCCTCCACCACGTCCTCTGGCAGCTCATTCCATACACACACCACCCTTTGTATGAAAAAGTTGCCCCTCGGTTCTCTTTTAAATCTTTACCCTCTCACCTTAAACCTATGCCCTCTAGTTTTGGACAACCCCCTACTGCAGAAAAGACCTTGTCTATTCACCCTATCCATGCCCCTGCTGATTTTATAAACCTCTACAAAGGTCACCCCTCAGCCTCCAACACTCCAGGGAAAATAGCCCCAGCCTATGCAGCCTCTTCCTATAGCTCAAACCCTCCAACCCTGGCAATATCCTCGTAAATCTTTTCTGAACCCTTTCAAGCTTCACAACTTCCGTATAGCAGGGAGACCAGAATTACAAACTTCTGACGATATTCTCCTGATCAATAACATATATCCCAGAGGTAATAACATGACTTAACACTTTGACAAAATACTGTATCCAGCCAGGGGTTATCACGATCCATGTCCTTAATTTTTAACAATCAAACCTTTTGTGCCTCCATATCAAAAACTCAGTCTGTCTTCTTGTATTTCATCTCTTTTTGCTCTCTTGCCCATTGCTCTTTACCCAAGCACTTAATTAAATGATTTAAGCAGTTAGCCCTCATCAAAACTATCACTGCTGCATCCCAACCCCTGAAAATTCCCAATTGAACCAGTCCAAAAACATGCAGATTAGGTGGATTGGCCATATTAAATTGCCCATAGCGTCTACGAATGTATAGGTTAGGTGGAATACCCGTGGGAAATGCAGGGTTACACGAATAGTGTAGGGGTCGGGTCTGGGTGGGAAGCTCTTCGGAGAGTCGGTGCAGACTCGATGGGCTGAATGGCCTCCATTCATACTGTAGGGATTCTATGATTCTTTCATTACTTGCTCCCTATCCAACCTTCACTCCCTCAGGATGCATGGGAAACCACCTTCACCAAAATATCCCAACTGATTCAGCAGCAAGTGAGCAGCTTGGCAGGTTATTCCTTGCCTGTCTCCACAACATCATCTGACCCTTTTCTTTGTAGTTCACTTCATGCAGGTGATACAGCACCAGCCGCAGTAAACCTACGCATGGTTCGTATCCTTCTGTTCCCTGTCTGTTCATGTGCCGTTTAAATGCCTCTTAAACTTTACTGGCATATCTGCTTCTATCACCTCTCATGGCAGTACGTTCCAGGCACCTACCACACTGTGTAAAAAAACTTTCCTCACACATCTCCTTTGAACTTTTCCCCTCTCACCCTATACCTGTCTCCACTGGTATTTGACATTTCCACCCCGGGAAAATGACTCAGACTATCCACTCCGCTCGTTGTTTTATAGACTTCTAAACAAGTCGCTCCTCAGCCCCCATTGCTCCAAGTTTACCCAACCTCCCCTCTTGGCTAATATACTCCAAATCCAGGCGACGTCCTGATGAACCTCTCTTGCACCTCTCCGAAGCCCTACATCCTTCCCATTTTGTGTGGGGACCAGAACTGCACACAGTACTCCAAATGCGGACTAACTAAAGTCTTATACAGCTGCGACACTACTTGGCAACTTTTATACTTAATACCCCGACCAATGAAGGTAAGCATGCTGAATGTCTTCTTTACCACTTATTCACCCAAGTTACCACTTTCAGGAAGCTACGGACTTGGATCCCAAGATCCCTCTGTATATCAATGCTTCTAAGGGTCCTACCATTAACTGTATACTTACCTCTTGCATTTGACCTCCCAAAATGAATCACTTCACACTAGTTCAGATTAGGTTCCATCTACCATTTCTCCATCCAACATTCCAACTGATCTGTATCCTGTTTATCCACTGATAACCATCCTCACCATCCACAACTCCAACAATTTTTTAGTCGCCTACAAACTGCGTAATCAGACCACTTACATTTTCATCTGGGTTATTTAAAACCATTACGAACAGAGGTCCCAGCACTGATCCTTGCAGAACCACAATGGTCACAGACCTCCGTCAGAAAATATGTTAGGAGACCAAGCCAATTTTGTATCCAATTTGCCAACTCAGCATGGATCCATGCAACTTAAATCATCTAGAGCAGCCTACCATGAGGGACCTTGTCAAATGTTTTGGTAAAGTCTTTGTAGACTACATCCACTGCCTGCCTTCACCAATCATCATCACTTTTTCAAAAAATTCAATCAAGTCTGAGAGACAAGACCTCCCCTGCATAAAGCCATACTGACTTATCTCTATTAAGTTCATTTTTTTTTTATTGGAGAGTAAATTCTGTACCTAAATATCTTTCCATATCACTGATGCAAGGCTCACTGGCCTAAAATTTCCTGGAATTTCCCTTTTGCCCTTCTTAAACAAAGAAACAACATTGGTTATTCTCCCATCTTCTGGAACCTCAGCAATTGCTAAAGATGAAACAAAGATCTCTGTCAAGGTCCCAGCACTCTCGTCCTTTGCATTCTTCAGTATCCTGAGATAGATATCATCAGGCTCCACAGACTTATCTACCTTAATGTTTCTCAAGATATCCAACACCACCACCTTTTTAATATCGACATGCCCTTGAATATCACTATACCCTTCCCTAATCTTACCATCAACCATAACCATTTCCTCAGTGAATGCTGATGTGAAGCTCTCATTAAAGACCTCACCCACTTACTCTGGCTTCACATAAATTCCCTCTGTCCTTCAGTAGACCTATCCTTTCCCCCATTACCCTCTTGCTCCTAATATGTGTATAAAATGCCTTGGGATTTTTCTTAATTCTACTTGCCAAGGACATTTTGCAACGTCTTCCACACCTCCAATTTTTTTAAAGCTCTTTTCTGTTTCCTTTATATTCCTTAAGGGTCTTATTTGCTTTCAGTTTTCTTAACCTTACACATGCTTCCTTTTCAACCAAACTTTCAATATCCTTTTGTCATCCAAGGTTCCTAAATCTTGCCATCCTTATGTTTTATCCTTACAGGAACAGTCCTGAACTCTGATCAACTGGCCTTTAAAAAATTCTTACACATCAGATCTACCCTCAAACATCTGCCCTCAAAATAAATTCTCCAGTTCCTGCCTAATACTGTTGTAATTAGCCTTCCCCCAATTTAGCACTTTCACCACAGTCTTATCTTTATCCATGACTATCTTAAAACTTATGATCACTGCTCCCAAAATGCTCTTCTAACTAACTTTAATCACCTGGCCAGGCTTATTCTGCAATACCAGGTCTAGTACAGCCCCTTCCCTAGTCCAACTATGTATTGTTTCAAAAAACTCTCCTGGGTGCACCCAACAAATTCTGTCCCATCTAAGCCCCTGGGCACCAAGGGAGTCCCAGTCAATGTTGGGTAAGTTAAAAATCACCCACTACACCAACACAGTTGTTTTTATATTTTTCCCTGATCTGCATACATATCTGTTCCTCTATCTCCCACTGGCTATTGGGAGGACCACAGTGAAAAGCTACTGGGAGGCCCAAGGGATATAGGCAAGGAAATCTATTGTTTTTATGCAGTCTGACCTAAATGTGACTACGGATTCTCAGATGCTCTCAAACTCCTGCTGCACCCCCACCCCAGTCAGGTCAGGTCATGAGAGCAAACTAATTCCCCAAGCTCCCCACCAACAGCAGAAGTCTGCAGCCCCTGCCCACTTAACAACTCTTGCATCCCCTCAAATGTTCACTTTAGGGTCAGAAAAGTTTGGGAAGCACTGCTTCAGGGTCAAGAAGGTATAATTAAGGCTCTAAAATCTTTTTTTCCTTACTTAGAGAGCAGTGCTATTCTGCCCATGCCAATTTATCTCCATGCAGAGGTATGCTACAACATGGTGGGTGAAAATGATCTGCTCATTATGTCCTTTATTCCTTTCTAGAGTATAACAATGATTGGAAGCTGTCACTGTACTGAATAATTTGTCCAGTTACCTGCATTAGCTTATAACTCCCATGGTGGGACTCTTGCAATGCAGTGGTAGCGTCCTTGCCTCTGAACCAGGAGGACGGACTCAAGTCCCACCTGTTCCAGAGGTGTGTCATAACATCTCTGAACAAGTTGATTAGAAAATATCTAGGATTGATCGATTGAAAGAGACAGTCATTCCAAACCTTCTGACCCACGCTCGTATTTACCACAGTAAACAGGGCTAGTGAGAATGGTTGCGTGGGACAGAGAGAGGGGCAGCACTCAGACTCTGTCAGGGTTTAAAGCGGCCCAAACCTGCAACTTAGGTATCCTGCTGTTTCAAGCCAAAGCCATGTATATCACAGTCAGAATGTCCCCCAGACATAGAGTGTCACACTCATTTGCGATGTTGGACTCCCCAACTACTCTGGCTTCCAGGGGCTTTTAAAATCCAGGTTAGTGTCAGTTCCCTGCTTTCTGATTGATCTCCGCTTCTGTATGACCTCTCTCCAACAACGGCAATGTGCTCTCTACTGCGCAAGACCCTGGCTGCTCTCAGAATTAAACTAAATACCAGATGGTTAAAATGTGAAAACTCCCCTCTTTTGGACGCTCCAACCTTTCACCCTAGAAGCACAAGCAGCGTCTTTGGGAACGGTAAAGGAATGATTTTGAAAATTACCGACCGGGAAGAGCTGGTATGACCTGTGCCAGAGCTTTGCAGCGAGTTGGAAGTCCGGTGCCTGCTCAATGGGGTCTTGGCTGTGGCCACTCCTGCCTGTGCAGCTGATGCGCCCTCATCCTCACTGCCCCCAAAACTTGTGATGTAAGTGATCTTCTCCTCGTGGGCTGGGGAGTTCGAGCGTGACCGTGATCTCGTCCCTGAGCTGGATTCAGACTGTGACCTGAAAGATCCACAAACAATACTGCATGTTACAATGAGACTAGGGCAGCAAAGTGCCCAAAGAACCACCCATCAAACAAACACAGTAAAGGTTAATAAGGCAGAGTATAGCTTCTTTCCTGAGCCATCAATAAAGCCCAGTTTACTAAATAAGGTTCCCGCTGGACTGTCCAAATTCTAACATTAGCATGCCTGACCAGACACTGTCCTAGAGTTTTCTCCAGATTTAGGGGAAGTTTTATGCTGTGCAAACTGACTTATCAGACTGAAAAGACTAATTGCAGCAAGCTTGTAAAAAAAAAATCAAACAGACATTGGTGTAGTGTAGCATCATGAGACTAATAACTCAAAGGCTCAAACACTCTGGGGAAGTGGGTTCAAACTCTCTGTGGACCTGAAGTTCAATTACTTAACAATAAAGAAAGGAATTATCCATGACATTACCTGTGACTACGTACGATTCCAGACACATGGCAATGTGGATGAATCTAAACTACCCTCTGAAACGGTCAAGCAAGCCACTCAGTTCAAAGGCAGTTCAGGATCGTCAATAAATGCAGGCCTTATCAGTGCGCCCACATCCCACCAAAATATAAAGAAGGTTGCCCTTGCACAAGTACAATTCGGCATAAAGTCAGCTGAAACCAGCAAGACAGTAACAGCATTTGCATGCAGACAGCTGTATTACTGTTTAATGTCATATTTGCAACATGCGCAATATTTTTTCACTAACAGATGACAAGATAATCTTGCTGTGCGCATTCCTGTACAAACTGCATCATTTGAGTCATTAAGACTGTACAACAAACTTGGAAGGTTGTGGAAGCTGAAAACTTCCAACAAAGTGATTTCACTGGAAGTCTTAACTCATTCAATATGATAACCCGCTATTGCCGGTTCCTTGGGTTCAAAAAGGTGTGGCCAACTTGGAGAGATGGGAGACAGCTGTTCAGTACATCACATTCTATTTGATAGGGCGAAAAAAAACTCAGGAGACATTTCTTCCCCTAACAGAAAGGGCAGTGGGAATCTAGAACACTCTTCCTCAAAAGGTGGGCATGTCAATTCAGATTTCTGAGATTGATACATATTTGTTCAAAAATGAAGCAAAGGATGGCATACGGATCTAAGAGATTAATGGAACAGGCTTTCAGGTCCGGATGGTTTTCTCCTGTTCTTACCCCCTCAGATTGGGGCACATCAATTTCATTAGTTAGTAGTGCTGCTTGTGTGTTGCAGTTCACTCAGGGAGTCTGAGCTGCTGCGACAACATGCACTTTTTAACATCTGTAGTCTGGAATTATGGCTAGTGGCGGTTTCTCAAAGTGAGAGTCGTGACCCTTAGTGAAATTGTGAACTGAAATTTGAGGGTTGCGAGCTATTGGGCAACAATGGCTGCCATGGAACTCTGATGGACCTGCAAGATCACCTTAAATCCTTGCGGGTTAATGTTAGCATTAATCTCAAGAGGGCTAGGACACAACAGCAGATGTACTGCTGAGGTGGTATAGGGTTCTGGTCAGCATTTGGAATATTATGATAAGTTTTTGGCCCTGTACCTAAGAAGGATGTTCTAGCGTTAGAAGGGATCCAGGGGAGGTTTTACAAGAATGATCCTGGGGATAAAGGGCTTGTCATATGAGTAGGGGTTGAGAATTCTGGGTCTGTATTCGATCAAGCTCAGAAGAATGAGGGAGGATCTGATTGAAACTTGCAGGATACTGGCCTGGATAGACTGGACGTGGAGAAGATGTTTCCACTAGTAGGAGAGACTAGGACCAGAGGGCACAGCCTCAGTGTGAAATGATGACACTTTAGAACTGAGATGAGGAGGAATTTCTTCAGCCAGAGGGTGGTGAATCTGTGGAATTCATTACCACAGAAGGCTGTGGAGGTCAATTCACTGACTATCTTTAAGATCATGATAAATAGGCTCTTGAATGGTAAGGGGCTCAAAGGTCAGTCTCTTGGCTCAGACTCCAGGAGACAGGAGCATGGGGTTGACAAACATATCAGCCATAATTGAACAGTGAAGCAGACTTGATGGGCCGAATGGCCTAAACCTGTTCCTATGTCTTACGGTTTTATGGGTTTTTTTATTCGTGGTTTAAATAGCCAATGTTTCAAAGCTGCTTATTGTCAAAAAGTCCCACTGAAAAAGCAGCTACTTTTGAATTAAAAATCTGGCAATTTAAACAACCCACTGCTCTCCCAGCACTTTCTTACACCCTCCCCGCTCTGCCTCTCTATTGCACAGCTCTCTCGACTCTCCCTCTAAACCTTTCCTAATCATGTATCTGAACAATGTCTTTTTAAATGTTGTAATTGTGTATCCCTCTAAACCCTCTCTATTCAAGTACCTACCCAGATACCTTTTAAATGGTGTAATTGTACCAGCATCCACCACTTCCTTTGGCAGCTCATTCCATACACGCACCACCCTCGGTGTGAAGACGTTGCCTCTCAGGTTCCTTTTAAATCTTTCCCCTCTCGCCATAAACCTGTGCCCTCTAGTTTTGAACTTCCCTACTCTGCGGAAAAGACCTTAGCTATTCACCCCATACATGCCCCTCATGATTTTATAAACCTCTATAAGGTCACCCCTCAGCATCAAGGACCCAGGTTTGATCCCACCCTCAGGCGGCTGTCTGTGTGGAGTTTGCACATTCTCCCTGTGTCTATGTGGGTTTCCTCTGGGTGCTCTGGTTTCCTCCCACAGTCCAAAGATGTGCAGGCTAGGGTAGACTGGCCGTGCTAAATTGCCCCGTAGTGTTCAGGGATGTTTATAGGGGGATGGGTCTGGGTGGGATGTTCTGAGGGTTGGTGTGGACTTGTTGGACTGAACAGCCTGTTTCCACACTGTGGGGATTCTGCGATTCTACACTGCCTCTTTCCCAAACACCACTCTGCAAAGTATTTACAAGTCAATTATGTTGTTCCCTCAGGAGTGGATTGATCTATTAGTTGGAATTCTCTTCTCCGTACTTCAGACGAAGGTTATACATTTACCTTTTATATGGATCATATGTTGGGCTGTCCCTCCTTGCATAACTGAAAAGGAAAGTAAACAACATCAAACACTGATTCTTACTTGCATCTGCTCACCCTGCCTCATCCCTTAGGTGATGCTTGCTGCTTGTAGGATGAGTCAAACATGTTTGCCTGACGTAGCAGCAACACATTTCATGGAATGGCGAGACAGTTTCAATCCTTTACACCTCCAGTGCCTTAATCACTCCCCTCCACCGTGGACCAATGGCCGCTACCCTTCGACCGCACAGCGTCCTTAAGCACTTGCTGCTCAGTCAATAAACCTCGTGCCTTTGAATGCAAGGTTGTGGGTTCATGTCCCACACACCACAGGCTTGAGCACGACACCCAGGCCAACACTCCCAGTACTGAGGGAACGTGGAACAGCTGGGAGGTGACATCTTTCAGTGGAGATGTCAAACCCAATGTTTCATCTGCCTCTCGGGTGGATGCAGAAGATTGTCGTAATTTCTTTAGAAGAACAACAGTTTTCTCCGGAGCCCTGGACAATCATTATCTCTCACTTATTTCTCAGATTGTTACCAGACTGCTGGCTGTGGTATCTCGCAGTGTAGAAAGATTGAATGCCTTTTTTTTAAAAAACATTAGTATCATACTTCGAAAAGTACTTCATTAGCCGCAAAGTGCTTTGGGACAGCTGGAGCTGTGAAAGATGAATGCATCTAGTGCAGAGCTCAGTCCACACAGCAGCACAGCTTCCAGTTTGAATCTTGGGATGTGCTGATCTTAGCTGAGATGGCATTTGGGGACTAAAACTATCCTCATTCTCCCTTGATGGAGCACAGACATGCCAATGTTAGGCAAGTACAGTTGTCTTTAGCTGTGATGCTCTCTGCAGTTGAATAGCCTGGACCCCATTAACTCAGCACATATATGAAGGACGAACACTTGGCTGAGGTATCAGAAATTGACTAAGCTAAGTGGAACCGAGCCCTAACCATCAGTATGCTTTGGATAGAAGGGAAGAGGCAAATCTAAAGGACATTTTGAAAACCACAGCATGAATTTTCACCCATGACAGTGTGACACTGACAGAGAGGCCATGTTGAGGTAAAATGGTACATACTCTTTTTCTAAAAAAAGGGTGGAATTGAAGAGAGGAGGCTTTTCAATGAATGGAGACACTGGGGAGAATGGGCTGTACCTGGGTGGGCTGATTTTCCTCCCCTTCAAACGCTTTTCTCTGAATTCTCTTCTTTGCCGTCGCGACCTTCGTCCCTATAAACAGAAAACGTAGCAAAATAATTGCACTGCTCACCTGCACCAAACCCTGGCACCATCAGTAATACTCAACAGACATGCTCCCACCAGCTGGCATGTGTAGAATAATGAAAATCCTTACCGAGTACATCGCCTTCTCCTCCTCCAGGGCCTTGGCATGTTTAATTGCCTCCACCTCCTCTTTGTCCTTACGCAGCATCCTTCAAACAGAAACGAGGATCTTACTGTAAAAATCTGACAACAGGTTGGTGCACTGCACCTTCCATTACACTGTCCCAGGTGGTGAAGAAGCAGATGTGGTGCCCCCACCCAGAAAAAAACAAACTCCACTGTCTGACTTTGCAGGAGATAAGAAATGGAGGACCTCCTCTTGTCCGATAAACTCTTCTCCCAAACAATCGTCCTTCAGTTAACATCCCCAAACGGAGTCTACAGCAGTTCTTTAACCCAAGCCCAAAGTATAAACCCTCTGCCCGTAGAAGGCCCATTAGTTTAGCACACACTAGCCTGAGCCAGGAATTTTTCTGCTGAATAAGGGGTCTTCCATTTAAGACAGTGATGAGGAAGGATTTCTTCTCCCAGGGGATTGTTAGTATTTGGAATTCCACTGCCACCAGCAGTGGAGGATGAGACACTGAATATACTCAAGGCTGAATCAGACAGGTTTTTAAACAATGGAATCAAGGGTTACGGACAATAGACGGGAAAAGTGAATTTGAGGCTACAATAGACCAGTCATTTGGTGGTCAGTTAGCTGGATGGCTGGTTTGTGATGTAGGTGCCAACAGCACTGGTTCAATTCCCTGCAGCGGCTGAGATCACTGTGACGTCTTCTCAAGCTTGCCCCTCAGCCGAGGCATGGTAAGCCTCAAGTTCAAATAACGGTAAGTCATCTCTTTCTAATAAGAGGGCAGCCAATGGTCCTCGGGGACTGTGGCAATTTATTTACACTTTTCACTCCAGCCCTATGATCTTATCAAGTGGTAATTTAGCTTGAGGGGCCAAATGGCCTTCTCTTTCTTACGTTCTCATGATTGACAGGAGATGGGATACTTGCTGGTCGAATAACAGATAAGTTGCAACCTCACCTGACAAAGTCACCCTCAGACATTCCGTAAGTGGTAGCGAGTTTGTTCAGCTCCAAAGTTTGTTCAGAGTTTAATTCATCAACATCCACTTCAACATCTTAAAGGTACGAAATAAATATTCAGAAAACTTTACAGAAGAATGATCGAGACTAGCAGCAAAAAATATACGCTAAACCATGTACTGCCTTCAAAGATAAAGAAGGAAAAAAGTGACAGATACACAGCAAGATCTCTGTATGAGCTAGAATACAGTCACCTCCAAGATGTACGCATAGTCTATTGCTCCGCAGTTTCTTGTGATGGATTTGCAAGATTATTTTGTTTAACAGATTCTTTCAAGAAGCAAAAATAATCTTCTACTAAAATATGCTCATGGATGTAGAATCATTGGCAAGGCCAGCATTTGTTACCCATCCCCAAATACCGTTGGGAGCAGTTAAGAGTTCTCTCCCCTCTGTCATTGAGAGCATATTTAAAAGAGAATAATTACATCTGAGAACTCCAGTTCGTTTCTCATCCCCTACTCATTTCTTGCTTTATTCCTTCATAGGACGGGAGTGTCGATGGCAAAACCGGCATTTGTCAGCCTTCTCTAAATTACCTTGGACCAAGTGGCTTTCTAGGACATTTCAGAGGGCAGTGAAGAGTCAGCAATATCACGATGCACCTGGAGGCCAAAGCGGATAAGGACAGCAGATTTCCTTCCAGTTGATGGCTGTTTCCTGGTCACCATTATTTGTTGAGACTTTTCATAGTTTTGGAAAATTAATTAATTGAACTTAAATTCCACCAACGCACTCATGTTCCCAAAGCTTTAGTCGAGATCTCTGGATTACTAGTCCAGTGACATTACCACTACATCACCATCTCCACCTCTTCTCATTCTTTGCCTTGCTTAACACGCTGCTATTCTGAAATCACCAGTTGGTTTTGACTTTATTATTTCACTAGTTAGGTAGTTAGAAATGTTTATCATGGAGTGGAGAATTTATTTCCACTGTGCAAATTACATTAAACATGTCAGCTTGGTTCAGTTAACCAGAACCATGAAGTGACAGGTTTGATTTTGACTCCCAAGACAGGAGCATGTATCACGACACTATCAGATGTGCAGACGAAAAGTCAAACCTGACATTAAAAGGTCCCATGGCAACACTTAAGGAGTTCTCCCTCCAACACAATGAAAACAGAATTGTTTTGTTTGTTCACCTCAGGTATCAATGGACTGCTATGCATTTCAAAACATCTCAAAATTGACGAACTTTTGAAGTTCTGTTACATGAGTCAGTCTTACCTTAAAATAATACCCTTACTTCAACTCAGCTGTATCATAATAGCAATTTATATAAATGACTACAGCACCCACTTAACCTTGAAATGTACTGCAGGCTGACTTGCAAGTCCAAGGGTACCTAAACTAAAATTTTACTCAGGATGCAGATGCACTGTCAGAATGGAATTCCTTTGACGCACGTGCATCTAAAATATTAAGCATTCTTTTCTCGTGTCTGTCCTATTCTGTATTTTCAGTAACTTTCTAATTTATTTCAGATCACCCAGTTTCATTATCATATTTCTAAGCCCATTAAATTTTCCTCTCAAATTACTTTGCTTCTGAAAGCCAGGTGAGGTGCTGTTCAAATCTCATGAAAACCCACATGTCTCCACTAGGGTCAGAAATTTGACCTTGAAATATTAAGAGGTGATGGCCTAGTGGTATTATCGCTAGACCGTTAACCCAGAAAGCCAGGTAGGGGACCTGGGTTCGAATTCCACCATGGCAGATGGTGGAATTTGAATTCAATAATAATCTGGAAATAACAGTCTAATGATGACCATCAAACCATTGTCAATTGTCAGGAAAAACCCATCTAATGTCCTGTAGGGAAGGAAATCTGCCATCCTTTTGGTCCCAACTACTCCAGACCCACAGCAATGTGGCTGACTCTTAACTTAGGCAATTAGGGATGGGCAATAAATGCTAGTCCAGCCAGTGACGCCCACATCCATGGATGAATAAAAATTAAAAGAAACAACTAAGTAACCTTCTTGTTTACAATATTTGACATTGTCCCTTTCTGCTACGAAGGTTTCGGGGACAGTTTTCAGAAACATCACAGTCTCACCTATGTCTGGGATCTCTTCATCCGAGTCACTCTTCTCATCTGAATCTTCCTCTTCATCTTCGTCCCTCTCCTCGATCTTTTCATCTGTGGTTACTGAGCTGTCATCGTAAGTGTAGCCAATGGAAGCTTTCTTTTCTGCCAGTCTGTTATGGAGGAAGATGGAGAGATGATTAATTGGAGTGAGGAAGGAGAAAGGGTTGGATCTGGCTGTCATCAAATTGTTGCTGCAGAAAACTCATAGCACAGGAACATAGTTCGTTACACGCGGAGATCCTTTGCACACTTCTTTCTGCAAGTTGTTGTGAGGGTGTTGAACTTGCTACCACATCGAGTAGTTGAGGTAAATAGCACTGATGCATTTAAGAGTTTAAATAGATAAAGGAAACAGAAATTGAAAGGTAAGCTGATGGAGTGGGGGTGGGGGAAGAGATGATGCTCGGAAGGTGGGAGGCTCACGTGGAACATAAACACCAGTATGGAGTAGTTGGGGTCAAATGGCCTGTTTCTGGTGCTGCAAGATTTACCTAACGTTATTATACAGAATTTCTAAGAGACAGTGATAAGCCACTGAATAAATTAAAGATAATTCTTTGAAGGGACCCTCAGCATCTAAACAGCAATCAACAAACAGTTAAAGATTTACAGATTCCAGTCAACTGAGGAAAATGTTTTATACCGTTACCAAAGTGATGGCATTCAAAGCCCAAGGCAAAAGGTGACAGAAAAGGAGACTTTGCCCCCAGTCTGTTCCACCCGGAATGCCATTCTGCTGTTTGAGATAAAAGCCATAGAATTCAAAGCAAATCCCTACTGCTGTTAATCGTGTTACAGAATTCAGATGTGCTGAAAACGCAAGTTACTTCACACAAACTAGTCAGTGTTGTATTGGAATGAATTCTTAACACGCTCTTAATTTTTACAGTTCGTGCTTCTGAATTCGCAGCATTTCGCAGGCACATTTTATTTGGGTGTCTGAAAACTAGTCTGCTGTAAGGGTATTGCAGGTGAGCAGCACCTCAGAGGAAATGTGGATGTCTGGGTGGGATGCTCTATTAAGGATCATTGTGGACTCGATGGGCTGGGTGGCCTGGTCCCACACTGTAAGGATTCCACTCTCCAACCTCAGCAGACAGCCAGCAAGAATAGGAATGCTGGCAGAAGCCAGATGTGAGACAATTTGGGTTTCAGAAAAAAAAAAGTGAACAGGTTGGGGCTCTTTTCTCTACAAGAGAAATCGCAGAGGGGCTGATCTGAGAGGTGCTTAAGAGTATGAAAGGCTAGATGCAGAGAAGCTGTTTCCATTTGAAAGCAACATCAGAATTAGGGGCCATAAGGACAAGACAGTAATTAATAAATGCCAATGGGGAATTCAGGAGAAACGTCTTCACCACAAAGGGAGTGTCTGAGGCGAACAGCATTGGACACAATTAAGTGAAAGATGAATAAACATGCTGGAAAAAGGAATGAGGAGGGTGAGATGCAGACGGATGGGATTAGGCTCATGTGGGAGTGTTAAACACCACCACTGACCAGTTGGACCAAATGGACTATTCCTGAGCTATAAATACACTTTCCTTCTTTGCCTTCATCACCCATCCCTTTAAGAGGGCAACACTGCCACCAGCAGTAGCCCTGATTAACATCAATTCACTCAACACAAACCTGGTCCATTTGGGCACTAAGGTATCAGAGAGTCTGGACAACAAAAGAGAGGGATAATGCATAGCTACTTCCTGTTGCATCCTTTCACCCTCCCTCCCCCTGGATTCTGCACATACTTCTTCTTCTCATCGTCGTTGGGTTTCTGCATGCCCCCGTACAGCTCATCAATGTAGATCTGGTACAGACACTGCTCCTCAGCAACTGAAATACAGAAAGAGATCCCAGAAGATTTAATACTTTGAAAGAAGGAATCTCCCACTTCGGACAAATGAACAGCAGTATCTTTTCTGAGAGCTGTTTACCCTCGAAATTCTCTAAAGCTAGGTCATTCAGTTTACTCAAGGAAGAGGCAGCCAGATTTCTGATCACCAAGGGAGTTAAGTAGTGGGGGTCAGACAGGAAATTGGAGCTGAGACCACTGTCATATCATCCATGATCTTATTGAATGAGAGAGCATGATTAATGGGCTGAATAGCCTTCACATGCTCTTATCTTTTGATGTAATAGACGGGTTAATGCATCAATTCTGACACACTTCAAACACTGGCCAAGCTGGACAGTTGGGCAGCTGAGATACAAATAAACAATGATCTAACTGGATGGTGGAACAGGTTTGAATGGCTGATTGGCTTCTGGCCTTGCTCCTAGACTTCTATACTTTTCTTCCTTCAGGTGGCTGTTGTATATTCCCAATATTGTTAGGACTTCTTTCATCAAGTGATGGCTCAACAACTGTAATGGAGGAGCTGCAACCATCAATGGTTCCAATAAAAATTCATCTGTATTTTTGGGAAACAGAAAACAAAATTGATCTCCATGGAACTGCCTGTGGACCAACAAGGCGAACTGACAGAGTATATTATCACGAGAAATTGAAAAGGTCAGGTTTCTTTTTAAAAAAGATTAGGACAACCACCAGTTTGGCCAATTTGCCAGCTGATCTATTGCAACAGCTCCACAGACAGAAATTTGGCAAGGGTTACAGATAGGGTGATTCAAGAAACAACCTCGAAACTTACTGCCTGCAAAATCATTCTGCACCAGACCTCTGTACCGCTCGTAATTACACTTCCGTTCATCATTGTCATGTTCTGGAGAGCTGAAGAAGAAAAATTAAACTTTCATCACAAGTTTAAGTGTAAAATGTTTGAATTAGACACAGGGTCTGTTCTTCAAACAACCACAAAGTGGTCTAATTAAGAGATATTACTTGAGCTTGCAACTTTCAGGTCAACAATAAGCTGGTGTGAAGCTCTGACTGTTTAGATTAACTTAAATACCATGGAGAAGTTGAGTACAGGAAAGGGGTCAGCTGTTTCAGACAGGCATGAAGATGAATCCTTTCATCACAGGACTGTGGATTACTGGAATTCTCTGCCCAAAACATGTAATCAGGAGCAAGAGCTCCATCTCATTTCTTGTTTAGTCATAGAGTTGCAGAGTGCGGAAACAAATCCTTCAGGTCAACTTGTCCAGATATCCCAAATTAATCTAGTCCCATTTGACAGAATTTGGCCCTTAGCCCTCTAAGCCCTTCCTATTCATATCCTCACCAGTTGTGTTTTCTTTCTTCTTTCATGGGATGTGGGTGTCACTAGCAAGGCTGGCACTTGCTGCCCATCTCCAATTGCCCCTGAACAGAGTGGTTTGCTCAATCATTTCACAGGGCAGTTAAAGTCAACCACATTGCTGTGGGTCTGGAAAAAATCTACAGTCCAGAGCAGGTAAAGGACATCAGTAAACCGAATGGGATTTTATGATAGACTGACAAGTTTCATGATCACCATCACTTTTCCAGTCTTTTATTCTTTAAAGAAATGATTGATTTTAAATTTCTCCAGTTGCTGTGATTGAATTTGAAGCAGTGGTCCCACAGCATTTTCCTGGGCCTGTGGTTTACTAGTCTAGTGACATTATCACTACACCAATGTCTCTCCTACAGATAGAGGTCAACGTTAATGCTCTGTTGTCGCATTTAAGGGAAGCGAATGCCTCAGAGCCTGACACAGCTATGGGAGCAATCTAATCAGACGGTCGGCTAGATCACCAGGAAGGGTGTGTGCTCAGCAGGCCAGTGGGAAGTGTGGTGATGGCCTGGATTAAGGGCACCCTGTGTAATGGCAGGCTGTTCCTTTACAGATGTAATTCTACGCAAACTCGAGCGACACACACCAATAAGGGACCAACGTGGATTAGATTGTATTATGTGGAAAGATTGGGGTAGGCTAGGCTGGAGTTTAGAGGAATAAGAAGTGACTTGGGATCTTGTGGTACATTGGTAGTGTCCTTATCTCTGAAACTGGAAGGCCCAAGTTCCACCTGCTCCTGAGATGTGTCATACAGCGTCTGGACAAGTACTTCAGAACGCACTAAATTCTAAATTAGTCACGTCATTCTTTAAAAATAAGGGACTGCTCTAAAACAGAGGAGGATTTTTTTCTCACAGGTTGGGTGCCTTTGGAATTGTTTTCCTCACTGGGCAGTGAGGCTTAAATTTAGAACAATTTTAAGACAGAGGTAGATAGATTCTTGATAAGCAAAGGAATTTTTAAAAATTCACTCACAGGATGTATAAATCAGTGTCTGAGCCACCAGTTATTGTCTTCCTCTAATTGCTCTTGAAAAGGTAGCATTAAGTTGCCTACAACTTCTGCAGTCCATTTGGTGCAGGTACACCCACAGTGCTTAGGGAGGGAGTTTCCATGATTTTGACCCAGCGACACCGAAGAAACAATGATATATTTCCCAAGCCAGGATGGTGAGTGGCTTGGAGGGGAACCTGCATGCGGTAGTGTTCCGATGTTTCTCCTGCCTTTGTACCTCTAGATGGTTAAATTGTTGGTTTTCAAGTTTCTGTCTAAGGAAAAGTTATTGGGACCAGGCAGAACTATGGAGTTGAGACCATAATCAGATCTGCCATGATCTTACTGAATGGTGGAGCAGGTTTGCAGGATCAAGGGCCTATTCCTGTTATTACTTGTTATGTACGTATGTATTTTTGTAATCCCCATTAGTTTAGGTCATTGTGGATAGGTACTTGGGTAAAACTGTGTGGAGGTCTGCAGTTTTCAGGATCTTTTGACAATTAGAGGAAGCCAAAAGGAGAGGAATTTTACTTGAGCAGGGTCGATATGAGTTTCCCCTTCTTCCATCATGTTGATACTCACAGAGCGCTCAGGAAAGGTGGGGTGTACTCCAGGATGTAATCCAGATGAGCCCGAACATCAAACCGATCAATCATGTTGTTTGTATCACCCTGCCAGGGCATCCTTGAGAAATAAAAACACAAAACCATTAGTTTGGCTGACCAAATCAGGAGCAGACAGTGTACAGGGAATAATTCAGCACTGACAATGGGAGTGCCCACATGAATTATGTACATAAGTCTCCGAAGGGGGAAGTGAATTCACAACTTGCAATGCTACCCATAGTGCCAGGATATTAGAAATAATGTGTGCAAATTCATAACTGCTGGCCTAGCCAAAGTGGCCCGCGTTGTCTGAGTGAATTTTTAAAAAAAACTTTCTTCATATTTCGGCACCTTTTAATGTTGGAAGAGCCAAGAAGTTTAGAACAGAAACCTGGTATGTAAATGAAAATCTATAACAAAAACAGTTGGGACTTCAGTCAGCTGGATAAGCTAAAGAATTACTCTTAATCAGTTCTTCAACTGGAATCATTAATATGTAGAGAAACTGCACAACTGTTGGAAGCAGCTAGTGTGGGTGCCATGCAATTCTCTAATAATACCCTATAACTGTGACCTAAGCTGACATGTCAGCAATGAAGCCTTCTCAGCTCAGGAAGTACAGAAGCTCAACAACATGTGGCAACTTCATCCGAACCCGCAGAGTTCGATTTATTTGTCTACTCCTGTTCCCAACTCTTCTAATTGTTACTGACAGAAGACTGCCCATTAACTTTGTGTCACCTGGCATACTAAGCACGAGAAGGTAACAGCACCAAAACATATCTTGGCAACAGAGAGAACACCGCGCATTATTGGAAAGCGGAGGGCACTGGCAGCCATAGCGCAGTGGGTAGCATGCTTGCCTTACGGTCTGAAGGTCGTAGATTAAAGTCTCGCTCCAGGACCTTAGCACACGTATTAACGCTGACACTGCAGGGTGATACTGGAGGAGTACTGCACTATCAGAGATGCATACATTCCCGATGAGATGCTAAGTCCCCAGCTGTCGTTGTGAATAGATGGCACTCTTTCAAAAACAGCAGCTGGCATTCCGGCCAATCTTTATCTTGACTCACAAAGTCAGAGCTTTACAGCAGAGAAAGCTGCCCATTGTCTACACAGTGATCACCAAACATCCTTTATTCTAATGCCATTTTCTAGCACTTGGCTCATAACTTTGTATGCTATTGCATTTCAAGTGCTCATCTAAATAGTTCTTATATGTGTTGAGTATTCCCAACTCTATCACTCTTTTAGGCAGTGAGTTCTAGATACCCACAAAAAATTGCTTCCTCAAATCCCCTCCAAACCTCCCGCTCTTTAAGTAAAGACTGTGCCCTCTAGTTACTGAGAGGTTATTGTAAAGTTTCACCCTATCTATTTCATCTACACCCCTCATGCACCAATCACAGCCTCCCCTCAGCCTTCTCTGCACTAAGGAAAACAACCCCAACCTATCAAATCTCTCTCTTCATAACTGAATCGCTCTAGGCCAGGCAACATGCCAGTAAATGCTTTCCGAACCCTCTTTAGTGTAATCACGTCATAGCAACAGTAATAGGTCATTCAGTCTCTCGAGCCTGTTCTGCCATTCAATTCGATCATGGTTGTTCTGTGACCTAACTCCACATACCTGCCTTTAGCCCACATCCCTTAATACCTTTGCTGAACAAAAATATATCTATCTCAGATTTAAAATAAACTGATCTAGCATCCACTGGTATTTGTGGAGGAGAGCCTCTACCACCCTTTGTGTGTCTAAGTGCTTCCTAACATCTCTCCTAAACAGTCTGGCCCTAATTCTCAGATTATGCCCCCTAGTTATAGAGTCCCCAACCAGTGGAAATAATTTCTCTTTATCTATACTATATTTTCCTGTTAATATCATGAAGACTTCAATCAGATCCTCTAAATTCTAGGGAAAAAATAAACAGGCCTGATTTGTATAATTTCTCCTCATAACATAACCCAACCCTGAAGTCCAAGAACCATTCTTGCAAACCTGCATTATACTGCTTCCATAGCCAATATATCTTTCATAAGGTATGGTGCCCAGATCTGCTCACAGTACTGCAAGGTCTAACCAGGGTTTTTACAGCTGCAGCTTGTACTCTAGTTCACTAGATATCAAGGCCAGTATTCCATTAGCTTTCTTGGTTATTTTCTGCACCTGTTTGTGATATTTTAAAGATCTGTGCACCTGAACCGCCAAGTCTCAGGTGGGATGGACTCCACCTGAACAGGGCCGGGTCCAGTTTTCTGGCAAAAAGGGTAAATAGGGTGGTTAATAGGACTTTAAACTAG